GACCTCAAAAACACGTAATAACAACGTCTTGCAGTACACGTACCCGTCATTACGGCGTCGATATTTGAAACAATACTTATCACCAAATTACGACGTCATTATGTCGTGCCTGCTGTAGCTGGGAATAATTTGGTTTTTCTCCCGTATCTAAGAAGTTCCAAGAGATACATCGAGTGTACAGAGAGTGTCATAGAATAAGCATCGAATCCATATAGCTACGAGTAGAGTGAAGAGAAACACATATTCCTATAAAAAGGAGTCAAGTAGATTTACCCAAAAGAGTTGGCTGAGAACTTGTATAGCAAAGGAATTAAATAGACTATGTCAGTCAAATAGGCTCATAAAATCAGTTAATAGTCCCCACCTATTTGACAACATTGCGATCCAGCCTACTGCCCTACCAACAGCACCGACCATCACCACCTAGTAGAACACAGAAGTACGCTTGTTGAGTAGTCCAGCTCGCCTACCTCGAAAACATACAGTTACTTTCCTTTTCAGAAGCAACTATTCTTGGAATGACAAAGCTAACGTGAAAAAGTAGAGTAAAATAAATGAAAAAGTACTCACTGATCATTTGCAGAGAAATTTCAAGCACGGCTCTGTCACTTATAGGTACTGTTCAAAGTTGTTGCGATTGGTGAAATCACAGTGAAATGTTACATAGGAGGTCTGGTTGTAAGCCGTCCAGCCGATTTGGGAGAGTAAAATGTCCAATAAGCATGCCACTTCAGTGCCGGATTAGCCACGTAGTCTGTCCGACCGGAATAAAAAAGTATTAATTCAGATCGCAGCGTAAAATCTCTTGCATGCCTTAAACATGAGGTTAAGTTGAAGATATAGCAATTCCTCCTAATTTAGCTATATCCTGTTCTATCCAAAGTTAAAATCACAGCCAGTCCTCTCGATCTAGAGTCGTCGTGTTCTAACCAAAAAGTAGTCGATGGCATATTATTACTTGATTCTAATGTCACTACAGTTTATAGCAGAACGAGGTCTTGCAAAATTGTTGGTTCACCTCACAATGGAAATTATTTAGGCTCGTTAGAATTAATAGCCCAATTTGAGGCTTTTATGGCTCAACATATACAAAATCATGCTAATAAAGGAAAGTGACATACGTCATATTACCAAAAACAACTTGTGAGGAATTTATTCATCTGATTGCATCAACCATACTGAATCAAATTATTTGCGAAATTAAGAGATGCAAATACTAGTCAGTTTCATTGGATTCTACTCCAGATATATCGCATGCAGACCAACTGACTCTGATAGTGCGTTATGTTCTGCCATCTGGACCAGTGGAAAGATTTGTTAAGTTCTTGGACATGGAAGGTCATACTGCTGAACAACTCGCTCAAAGTTTACTAGATTTCTTAAGTGAGAGTGCCATTGATGTCAAAGATTGTCGTGGGCAAAGCTACGATAATGCCAGCAACATGAGTTGGAAATACATCGGCTTACAAGCCCGGGTTAAGGAAATAAATAGGTACGCCGAATACAGGGTTTGTCCGGAAAGTAATAGGACTGAGTCGATTTAAAAAAAATTTATTGAGCGAATCGTTACAATTCTTTAAAAACTTTCAAAATAGGCTCCTTCTGCGTCGATGCAGCGCTGCCAGCGCGATTTCCAAGCATTGAAGGCGTCACGGAAGGCATGCTCCGGAATAGCCTTGAGAGCCGCGGTGTATGCTGCTTGGATCCCCTCTGTCGTCTCAAAATGCTTGCCTTTCATCGGCCTTTTCAGGCGAGGGAACAAAAAAAAGTCCGGGGGGCCACATCTGAGCTGTAGGGCGACTGCGGAAGCGTTGGGATGCCGGCCTTGGTCAGGTAGCTGTTCACAAGAAAGGCGGTGTGAGCCGGGGCCTTGTCGTGGTGCAACTTCCAGTCGGCTGCGATGTATTGTCGGACCCGACTGACCCTTCGTTTGAGTCTCCTGAGCACTTCCACGTAAAACTTGGCGTTGACGGTTTGTCCAGGAGGAACAAATTCATGGTGGACGATGCCTTTGATGTCAAAAAAGACAATGAGCATCGTTTTCACTTTGGATTTGCTCATTCTTCCCTTTTGTGAGGAGACGCCGTCGTGTGCCACTCGGAAGATTGCCTCTTTGTCTCGGGATCATACTCAAAGATCCACGACTCGTCACCTGTGATTACGTTATTCAAAAATTGGGGGCACTTTCACACATGTTCAAATTTTCTTGGCACACTTCCACTCGCCGCAATTTCTGGTCGTCAGTGAGCACTTTTGGGACCATCTTCGCGCACACCTTGCGCATGTTCAAATGCTGTGCCACAATGTCATGAACCACAGATTTTGGTAAATTTAAGATCTGGGCAATTAAACGAATACTTAGTCGACGGTCTGAGTTCAAAACTTTGCGCACACTAGTCACATTATCGGTGTTTGTCGAAGTTGAAGGTCTTCCAGCACGGTCTTCATCAGCGACCTCTTCCCGGCACTCCAAAAAGACCTGGTGCCACCGAAACACACCACTTCTTGCTAAAGCGACACCTAGGTAAGCCTGCTTGATCATATCAAACGTCTCTGTCGCAGATTTACCGAGTTTCATACAGAATTTAATCGCGTACCTCTGCTCTCACGAACGCTGCATTTTCGGCTTGCACCACTCACAGAAACACGTCGCTCGAAAATGCCTGTCCTGACTCTCCAAGTGCTCGGAGACAACTGACCAGCCGCTCATTCGTTAGCTAGGAACGCCCTCTACCGAATCTTGCACTTCCTCTTATGAACGCACTTAAAGATTCTACTTCAAAAATTCCCATTTTGAAACGGTTATCTAGGTGGTCAGCCCGAGCTGATGCTACGAAGGCACTTTTATGTGGTTTTATCACTATTAAGCAAGTTTTGAAAAACATTTTCAAAAACGTGGGTCAAAAAGCGGAGTGCCATAATAAAGATTACGGACTAATTTCAACGATGAATAAGTTAGAAACGGGAATAATGACAATTACATGGAAAGGAATTCTAGAACGCTTGCAAGCGACTAGTGCTTCGTTGCAGTCATCTGATCAAGACCTTAATACGGGAACGCCCTTTATGAATCATTATATAGCTACGTCCAAGCATTGCGATCCACATTTTCAGATACTGAGGCAAGAGCCAAAGATCTCACCGACTGTGAAGAATACCCGCAACAGACATCAAGACGAATCAAGCGAAATACAAAGTACGACCATTTCAGCGGCTCTACTACACTCGTCAACTTTGTTGAAAAAAACCCCTGGACAACGTTTCGAAGTTTAGGTGTTTATTGTCATTATTGATAACTAAACGTATGAAAGCAAATCACAAGATTACTAGTGTTTTCGAAGTTTTTAGGCAGCTAGAATCTCTTACAACAGAAGAGATTTTAGAAAAATCCTCAAGATTGGTCAGTGCTTACGAAGATGATTTGGAGAACAGCCTAGCTGGCGAATTAGTGCAGTTCGCAGAGCTGCTGAAAACAGAGGTGGCTACTGTTATTGACAGAAAGAAACAGGAGTCTCTTGAACAGCCTTTTTATAAACTTTTACTAAATAATTCTTTAGAATCGTGTTTCCCAAACTTAGATATTGCGTTGCGTATTTACTTGTCTCTCATGATCACTAACTGCAGTGGCGAACATTCTTTTTCAACATTAAAACGTATTAAAAATGAATTAAGGAACACGATGGGCCAAGAACGTGTTAATCATCTCACTTTGTTGAATATTTCTATGTTTGCCCATATTATGTTAGATCCAGAAAAGATTATTTGTAACAATTTTCTTTTATTTAATACCCTAAAGAACCTAAAACAAACCAAGGCCCCCTGACAAAATTTGCTACAGGCCCCGCGCTGGCTTAATCCGGCACTTAGCCACTTGTCATGCCATCCAACAGTGAAAGAAAATATTTGTTATTCACCTCGTTTCGCGTGAAGGTTGATTCGGCTAATATGCATTGGTGCATTCATTTCGGGCGTGATGAAGCCAACAAGCAGAAATACGTATTGTTCGGATTGCCTATCCTATTTTCTGCTCGAATCCACTTTCCTTCTTGCTGTGAATTTTGCCCATTATTTGTATATTTGTTATATCTGCATGATTTTTTACTTTTTGTAAGTCCTTGAATACTACGGCAAGAACCTATAACCGGCCACGTGGTTATCAACCATAGATTATTTGGTTGGTGCAACAACCACTCACAAAGTCGCACTCTTTCAGGAAAATCCTCGACTTGGAGAGCTTGTAGAGAAGTGTATCCACTATCACGCAGCATTTGCTACACTTTAGTCTTGGAGATCTGCACTTGTCTAGCCACTTCTCTAGTGCTTATTGAATAATTTTTATTCTACAAGTTTCAATACTACTTGCTACTTCCTCAGTTTGCACCATTTGGAGTTGTCGAAGTCTCCCACTGTGCCCACCTCGACATTCCTGCAAACGACCTCTGTATCCCTAGCTTTTTCCACAAGGTAAATAAATCTACAATTGGTAAATAAATATTTAGTTTACCTACCTTGTCGGCGTCACAGCTGACAACTTATGTGAGATATAAGATCGATGCTTCGAGATCGCTTTTTAAAAAGAAAATACAAAATTCAAAAAAGGTAGGTACTTTTTCAAAATTATTACAATATCTTTATGATGTTAATTAACATTACAACGACTGACTGTAAAATGTGTTGAGAACAATAAAGTAAGCTCTAGGTCTTCTAAGACATTGGTGGCATAGATATCCGCAGGAACTCCCCCACCTGAGATTCATCTTCTGGGAAGAACCAAATTCCAGTAGCGTCCTCGGTGCAGACCTGCCTTATCTTCCTAAGGACGCTCTGTAAAATCATTTTTTGTAACATTATTTTTCACATTATTATTATGATTATAGCATAGGATATATTGAAAAAATTGCAAAAAAGCTAACGACACGCGGTGTTCCCAAGCGGTCACCCATCCAAGTACTAACCGCGCCCGACGCTGCTTAGCTTCGGCGATCGGACGAGAGACGAGAGCATCAATTTTTTTTAGCAACAATTTATATTTATTTTTCATAATTATAATATACAGTAATATGCACTTAAATTATATATGTACATACTATGAGGATTAGGCTTAATAGTAATAGTAATATTCTCTGTGGAATCGGGCGCACACTCGATTTGACTCACAGAGATGCTTGGTGTTAAGCTAAATAACTTTATAATATACATGTGCATGTGGTTATAATATTCTTGTCATATCCAAATAATAAAATGACACTTACAAAACAAACTAGAACAAACAAAAGTCCAAAAAGTGCAATATTCATAGATTTTGTCCGGGGTTTGGTTGAGAAGTTTATTTACAGGAAATATACTCAAAACCTGTGCCTACTAAAAAATTAAAAATTTGAAATAAGAGAGACGGCGTTTTGAGCGTGGTATGGCCGTTACCTGTAATAAATTGTTTCCTTCCAGCTATTCCAGTTGTATGTATGTACTTATAACAAATAAATTCCTAATTAATGGAAAATGTTCAAAATCTAAGGCAGTTGCTGCCATCTGTGAATGATAAGAGTCATGAAGTGCTTAGTGAGATTAGTGAACTTTCACGTCACAGGAAAATTATGTATTCAATAGGTACCACAGATTAAATATCATAGATGGCAGCAGCGGACAAAAATCAAAAACTAACCTTACTTTTTTGTTGTTTCTATTGCAGTACTGCTTTTTTGCTCATTTCTGTATTTTTGATATTATTTTATTTGAATGCTTCGTAGATAAATTACATTAAAAATGCCAATAGCACAGGTAGGTAAATATGTGACTAATTGATTTCACACGTCTGTTTATTTTTTTTTTCATTTTAGCTAGCAGGAAGTGGTTCCGACGATTCAGCAAAATCCAAAACGTTTGTCTTCAACGACGAAGGGCATACCTTAGGAAACGCATTACGTTGCATCATATCCAGTTAGTAAGTACCTACAGCCTATACAGAGCCAAGCTAATGGCAGAAGGAGCCTCAGAGTCACTGCAAAATCATCCTGGAGCCGTGTTTTGGGGCCCTTTTCGTACGAGAGACTTGGGGCAGCTGCCTTAAGAGCCCTGGCCATGTACCCACATAGCGTAACCTTGAATTTGTTTGCAGCCCAGAAGTACAATTTTGTGGCTATACAGTCCCCCATCCTGCGGAGAACAAAATGCACTTCAGAATACAGATGTACAATGGAAGAGCTGTAGATGCATTGAGGAAAGGCTTGGAAGATTTAGAAGAAGTCTGTACAATTACACTAGATAGATTTCAAGCTGAATTAGAAAACTTCACTGGTAGTTAGTATTCTGTGATCAATGTTAGGTTTAAATAAATGTTTTAATGTTTTTTTCACGTGATTCTTTACCTTATTTGGGACACCTACTATTATGATGAATAATCACACAAGTACTACAGAAAAAAATATTAAACATTTTTATCTGGCCAATGGAACCACATATTTTTGAAATTCTTCTTTAAGATAGTACATAGTATGTTTTGGTGTTTGGTCACAATGGTGACTAAATTAAAGAAGAGTTTTATGTATGTGGTTTCATTGGCCAGACAAAGATGGGGGATTATCGACATAAAAACTACAGGATAAAGTTTCAAATGTTACCTAAGAAAAAAATATGGTTGCATTAATGCAGGATCCAAAAGTAGTGAGCCCTGTAAAGAAATTGTTTAGCTTATATCATAAACTGTTGTTTAATGTATATCATTGCTTACACCCTAAAGTGATCAGACATTTTTTTAGCCATATGCGCTGTAATGATATTCAAACCTCAAAAAAGCATCATGTACTATGACTCAAACTGATACTCTAAAAGTGATCAAACACAGTTACAAAAATAAGTTGAAAGAAATGCAAGAGGACATCATCAAAAAGAAAAAAAAGATACAGTACTTCCCACTCAATAATATAAATTTATTTCAAATGTTATTGGAACTCAAAAATCATAATTGTCTTTCTAAGTGCAATATCAAAAATTCATATTTTCGAACCCTACGCCCGGAATTGATCATGAAAAGTTTGGGATTTCTAATAAATATTGACGCTCCAAAGAACTTAACCCCACAAAAACTAAGGCTTGTTGTATTGGTTCTAGTCTAGTTGTTCCAAAATTCAAAAAACCAGTGAATGCAAATATACTTTTAGATGGTACCACTATTCAAATTGTAGAGAAAACAAAAAATTTGGGAATATTATTAGATAAAAATTTAAGTTTTGAATATCATGTTATGAATAAACTCAAATTGTGCTATTATAAATATAAAACGCTTTGGAAACATAAACACATACTGACATATGATATTAAATTAATGCTTGTAAACTCGTTAATCTTTACACATGTGGATTATGGTGTCGCAGTCTATTACAACTTCCTTACAGAGGAAATAAAACAAAAAAATCAGATTTTACAGAATCTTCGCATACGATTTTGTTATACACATCACTGGCTACTATGTGAAAGAAGACATTTTAAAATATAACTACCGTTCATTGCTTTTTTATGGTGCTAAGGTTCTAAGATATAAATCTCCAAATTATCTGTACAATATTTTAGAGAAAAGATCCTCTGTTCGCAATGTTTTTCTAAAAAAGATAATTGCTATAATATCCCAGGCCATGTAACATCTAAATTCAAAAAAGCTTTCACTCATGTTTGTTGAATAAATTTTTGGAACTTTTGCAAATTACTTCCAGTAGTTTCAGAAAGGAATTCAAGAAAGTGCTTCTCCAGTTACAAGCTTCTGAAGCTAAAGATTATTAACGTACGTTTCAATATTGTATTTTATTTACAATGGTACCTCAATTTTATAGATTACTTTCCCTATGTAAAATTGGAGATAAGATGAATCGCATGACTACACAAAATAGTTTTAATTTACTGAATCTCTATGTACTTGCTGTATGCGACAGTGAAAAATGACAATGCGAATCCTCAGCCTTTTGGGGTGTTTTTTAATGTATATTTATTCATTTTGTATGTCTCCAATAAACATTATCATTATTATTATTTCGTCCTAAATTGTTTTCTAAGTAAATCGGGTGCGTATTTTTCCGAATTCAGTGCTAAAATTTTCGGGTAGCCCCGAAAAAATAGTTTTTTGCCAATTTTTCACCCTAAATCCGGCCCGATGACATTTTAGATTTTTCTATCATTGTATTCAATGCCCCAAATTACCACAGAGCCTGGCTCACATGTAGCCATCGATAGTAAAAATGGATTTTTAACACCTGAAAGTCCAAAAAACGCATAGTTTTGCAATTTTTCGTTAAATAATTAGATCTACATACATGATGAACGGGATCAAATACATCAGAAACACGCAGGCAAAAGCCTAAATACCGAAGCACCGCGCCTGTTATGAGGAGCTTAAAGAAACTTTGTTAATCCGATTTTTGAACTGCTCAAGGTTAGTAGAACTGGAAAAAACCCCCTCAGGCAGACTGTTTCGCAATCTCGATGCCCTAGAAACAAAATAGCAGTCCTATCGCCCAGTTCTGGACATAGTTTCGATACCGTCAGGATGGGAGGCCTGAGTAAAGCCGGTTTTCGTAGCGGTAGAAGAAAGATCGCCGGTGCGAAAGGGTCCCGAGACTGTCCGTTAGAGAAGAGTCATCGATCACTGAACAGCATCGAGCATAGATAATTTAGTCCAGCTGCAGCAACCACTATCATGTGAGCTATATTCTAGGCTAGTTCTTATCTGGGCCTTGTACAGAGTGAGGAGGTCATGTGGAGAGAAGTACTTCCTAACCTTAAGCAAATAGCTTAGTTTTTCCCAGCAGCTTCCGCTATTGACGAAATGTGTTTGTGCCAGATCAAGTCCACGGTTATCTGAACTCCGACCAGCCGAAATGAACGGCTCTTTGATACAACTCGGAAATCCATCGAAACTGGATGAGCGCATATTAACTAACATATAAAATACAGTAGTTGAGACTATCTACGGCACTGTTTCACTCAAACATTCTTTTGTTAAATGAGAAACTCGAAAAATGTTGAAACAGGATCGATTCTTATTTCCCGCAAAAGCTTCTACGTTCTTGACACCATACTCAAATCAGCACTTTCCAAGTTATAAGAGGGGTCAAAGATTTTATCGGACCAACAGAAATCTTCAAAAAAATCGCGGTTTTGACCAATTTTGAAATCACAAACAACTACTTCTTCGCCAACTGTCATGAGAAATCAAAACTTGATTCCGAAATTCAAAAATCTTCGCGAGGCTTTTATGCGTGTGGAAAAATTGTAAGTCAACATTCTCGCACAAAAAGCCGCATATATGTGAAACTCTTTAGCAAGACCATACTATTTACAATGCAAACAATATATTTATAGCAATGAGAACCTGGTAGTAATGCTTAATTAAGCAGAATATATAAATTCTTAATGACTCACTTAAGAGAAATACTTAACGCACCTATCGTTATAAAATAACCTTGACTATCTATAATCGCCGAATACAAAGGCACAAAAAAATGACCGAGTCCCGAAAACCATGAGCATGTTTCACTATCCAGAGCGTGGACTAACCCCCGGGTTACCGGAACGTTCACCTACAAAACCATCTATTCAATGTCAGTAGTAATTGTTAAACTGATCGGCACACGCTGTATTATCATAGCATATCTAGTTAAATCAGCAGTGGAACTGCCTGAAAACTACGTTAAGCTTCTGGGTGAATTTCTATGACATCCAAATAATTTTTGTTAGCAATTGATTGAGCAAATTAAAGATAATATAAGAATAATAATAGGAACCAATTGGATACAACTGATGCAAATAATAATAATAATAGCTTTGTTGTCCAACAGTTTCCCATTTATACGGCAATGTATAAACCTATATTGGAAGAGCGAAAAAAAACTACGGTAAAACAGATTACAAATCAACATTAATCTTCACCAAGAGTGTGAGGCAGGTATGCATAAGTATCAGTAAAAGTATGTTAGCAAGCAGTTAACATTCTTTTTTTTATATATATTCCAACTACCACGAAGGCCTAAGGCCTAAGCACCCATTGGGTACCGTGGGGCTATGGGGGATACATGGGAAAGGGGGGACGCCACACGGACTCTGGCGAGGGAACACGTGTGCATGCAACATGCACACATTCTGGCTCCGCCTACGAGAACCGCCGGGTGGTACCTCCGCGTCCGACAGTCAGAGACCATCTACCACCTACGGACAATCACAACATCCATAGCCAAGAGAAAAATTTCTCCTGGGACGGGACTCGAACCCGCACAGCGCACGGCGACTGATCAGGAGACCGAAGAGTCTACTACTGCGGCCACCGCTGCTGCCTAAAGTTCAAATTAGTGCACATAACATGTATTGGTGACTTAAGTAGAATATTTGTCCTTGCCCTCGGAGGCCTAAAGATCAAAAGATTACGAAATGGAGAACAATCAATTAAATTATGGAGCAGTTTGTAGTCAAATAGTAGTTAGGCACAGTGCCTCCGTTGCTTTAATGTTGACATTTCTTATCTACTGCATAGTTCCTCACTGCTCGTACCTCTTGGTGGATGTGTCCCGTTTCAATATCGCTGTTATAGCATTCACAGTAACGACTCCAAATGGTACTACGAGGGCTGTTTGATAAGTCAATGATTTTTTAAATAAAAAAAAATGTTTTTCGGCAAATAAGCATTTTATTTCTCAACATAATCTCCTTTTAGCTTGGTACATTTAGTCCAGCGTTTTTCCAATTTCTTAATTCCTTCCGAATAGTAGTTTTTATTAAGGTTCCCAAAATATGCGTTTCTTTCAATGATGATCTCTTCATTCGACCCAAATTTCTTACCACCCAGCCATTCTTTCTGGTTTGGAAATACTAAGCAGTCGCTGGGGGCTAAATCTGGAGAATAGGCTGGATGGGGCAGCAGTTCGTAGCCCAGTTCATGAATTTTTGCCATCGAGACTACACACGTGTGTATCCGAGCATTGTTTTGATGGAACAGCAATTTTTTTTTGCCAAATGCGGTCGGTTTTTATTCAAAGCAACGTTGAATCTGTCTAATAGCTCTGAATAGTACTCTTTCGTGATCGTACTGTCTTTCTGAAGGTAATCGATGTAAATGATACCGCATGCGTCCCAGAAAACTGCGGCCATAACCTTGCTGGCTGACAGACCCGCCTTAGCCTTCTTTGGAGCACGCTCACCATGTGAAACCCACTATTTTGATTGGTCTTTGGTTTCTGGTGTATTGTGATGAATCCATGTTTCGTCTACAGTTACAAAACGGCGCAAAAATTCGTTCGGATTGCGGCTGAACATTCCCTTGAAATGGTCACACGGTGGCGCTTATGGTCGACTGTGAGCGATCGCGGCACCCATCTCGCGGATAGTTTTTTTGATGTCCAAGTGTTCATGTAAAATGTGATGTATCCGCTCAGTAGACATGCCTACAGCCTCAGCTACTTCACGTATTTTTATTCTCCGATCTTCCAATATCATCCCATGTATCTTAACCACGATTTCTGGTGCGATGACCTCTTTTGGGCGACCTGAACGTTCGGCATCACTCGTGCTGGTTCGACCACAACGGAACTCAGTAAACCACTTCCTCACCATTGAAATAGATGGTGCAGAGTCCTCATAGGATTTGTCAAGCCTTCCCTTGGTTGCAGTGTTGGTTTTTTTACGCAAAAATAATGTTTAATTAGAACACGAACACATTTCTCCATTTTTGTTAGAATTTATGAGACTATCTACTTTCAACGGCTGTCAAACTCAAATGAAACGACATAAATCAAATTCAAGCGGATAACCAAATGGAAATGGTATTTACCATTTTGGGTTGGTATTTACCAATCCGTTCAAGCGAGTGTAGTTATCAGTTTGGTTATAAGATCCGTGACGTCACGAATCAGCTGTTATATGTCATAGTTATCACCGCAAAATTGTGGTTTTTACCCAACTCAAGAGTAGTTTTATATTTCTGGTTATTATTTGTAAATGTGACAAGTTAGAATTTTGCCGGGTATTGGATATAGTTATTGTACTTCAGCTTCATTTTTGAGAAAAATGATACAGGCTGACTTCAGTTTTACCATAAAGTGGAGCACCTTATTAGTTATACTCATTACGGTTGTTGGGGACACTTTAAATGTAGTTCCTATGCTTAACAAAGTATCATGTGTAGCCATATACCACAAGAATATTAAAATATGGCCATATAAACTCACTAGATGATATCCACCTGTATACGGTTTTGCTAATTTCTTTTTTCATCATTTCTGCTGATTCAATAAAAGTTTTCTTTGACATGCGGAAAAATTTAGAGAATTGAAAGTTATCATAGCTACGCACCGATGGTTCCATCATTAAAAAAAAATCTGAAAAAACATTTCTCCCATGAATATTATGAAAGGTTTCTTATTTAAACTTTCCATATACAGTTGTAGACGAAAAAGCACCGATTAAGTGATAATAAAAATAATCATAGGTTATATACGCGCTTTTCTAAAATAAACAACTTGCAACAAAACCGCGGTTAAAACCAACGCGTTCAAGCGATTCGTGTAACTGACGTCATCAACCCGTGTGTCATCTTGAACCATATTATAACCGCGGCACATAACACAGAAATTTTGGTTATTCGCTTGGATTTGATTATAGCTTGTTCAAATTTTGACAGTTGTCATATAAAGATGGCAGTTGACGGCAGCAGTGTTGCATTCAAGGTTACTGCGCGGGAAATTTAAAAAGTCACTGACTTATCAAACAGCCCTCGTACAATATTCTTCTTTCCATATTTTATAACGTATACATAATATTATGTTATTTCTGCAGTTCCTTACTATGAAGTCATATGCCATCAATGTCTCCGACGTTTTTTTTTTTTAGTTACATGCTCACTAAAAGTTTTTGATCAAATTTTATACCTCAGAGCATCTTTCTAACACAGACCCCTGAATAGAATACGGATACTCACAGACAACCTTTCTCCTGGTGTAACTGACTATATTTTACACTTTTTTACATTAAACTGTAACTTGTTATTGACACTCCAAGGCTACAAAGTTTTATTGAGATTGTATAGTTTGAAACAATCACTAGTGGTATTTATCCTTGAATAAATCTTCAAGTCAAAACACAGGCGTTCACAGTCTATTGACTCGCAGAGTTCGTTAATAAAAATCAGAAACAATATTGGTCCCAGGCTAGAGCCCAGAGGGACTCCAGCTGTTACGTAGGTTTTAAATTTGAAGCTATTATAGATAACGAATTGCTTACGATTGAATAAATAAGAGTTCATCAACTCCATAGCATCATTTGAGAAACCAAACATGCCTAACTTATCTAATAAGGTCTCACGGTTGATCTTACCGAAGGCGTTCTGTATAACAAATGGTATGATATCAAAGTACTAACTGTAAAAGAATTTCATACTTCATATTATTATTCTTGTATTTTGTTTTTAATTTGCTCAATCTATTGCCATCAAAAATGACCATTTGGATGTTAGTTTCCAGATAAATTTAGCATAAAAAAATTATCTTTTAGTGGCAGAGATTCAAGAAAGAAATAGGGTGAGCCAATACTTTCTTGACCCACTGTTTATTGTCAGGAGTAACCTTGCTGTGTAATATCAAATATGTTGTGGTATTACGAAACCTTGCAACCTTAATAGATTCCGAGTACGACCATTGATTGTACGATCGCGCTTTCCGCTTGGTACCTTGGTAATTCGCGGTACCAACATGGTGCGTGCCGGCGGATGGCTCTTAGCTGCCGGGATAGTGGGACTCTTCGGGATCTGTTACACGGCCAACCTGGATATATGTCAAGCTGATGGTTGTGGTGAAAATGGTGCGTATTTTGTTTTATGGAAGATGTGAGCGGTTTTCAAGTGCGTGATCAATGTCGATTGTGATTGCAAATGCATTTTGCGGTATCAACGTTCTTCTCAAAGAAAAGTTCTATTTCGAGCAAGGTGTTCAAGTAAAAGCAGCAATATACGTATACCGCCAAAAAAATACTTCTTACTATAGAATTGGAAAAAATAATAATATCTAAAAAGAAAACTTATAGTAATAATAATAATAATAATAATAGTAATAATAATAAATGTAATTATTATTATTCTTATCATTTTTATTTACTCCTTCAACACAATGTGGAAAATAAGTAAATATATAATATACGAAAAAAGAGTTCATAGGAGGCACTGCATGTACCTGGACCATTGATGTTGCAATTGTGCATAGAATTAAAACACAAATAATGATACAACCAATCAACGAATCATTTGATGCTTACATTTACTATTAATTTGTGTATGTTTGGCATTGCGAAAGAAAATATCCATTCTTTTAATTGTTTTTTTCAAACGTATTCCCAAAGCTTGGGTTCTTTCTATTGTCAGGTAAATTTGCGTATAATTTTGGTCCTAAATAAAGATATGATCGATGTGTTATAGATTTGGATACATGTCAGGCTGATGGTTGTAGCGAAAGTGGTGCGGTTTTCAAGTGCGTGGTCATTGTCGATAGTGATCGCAAATGCATTTTGCGGTACGAACGCAGCAACAGTTCCTGGCAAAGTCCTATTTCGAGTAAGGTGTTCAAGGAAAAGCAACAATAAGCGTGTGCCGACCAAAAAAGGCTGGTTACTATTGAAGTGTAGTTAATAATAATAATAATATTTATTTACTCCTTAATCGCCATATGGAAAAGGAGTAAATAAATATGAAAGAAGGGTCTATACATGGACCAGTAATATTGCAATTGTGCATATAATTAAAAGACAAATAATGATTCAGCTAATCAACAAATCATTTGATTCTTACATTTACTATTAATTTGGATGTGTCTGGCATTGCTAAAAAATATCCACTCCTTTAATTGTTTTTTATTCCCAAAGCTTGGGTTCTTTATATTGTCAGGTAAATTTGCGTATAGTTTTGGTCCTTAATAAAGGTATGATCGCTGTTTTATAGACTTGTTACTAGTAAATTTGTGATAGTTGGTGGACATACGTGTTTATCGTCGTGAATATAAGACATCAGTGGGATATAATTTTGGTTTTTTACACATTGTGAATCATTTTTTGGAAGACTTCTAGATCATAATTATGAGTTGAGCATGTAGCTCCCCATGCCAATATACCGTAGGTTAAATGTGGTTCGATCAAGGTACGGTGTAAGGTATAGAGATATTTCTCTTTTAGAATATCTTTGAGGTGTTTGATCTCATATAATCTAACTTTTTAAAATATATTAAATATAAGCATCCTTACGCAAGTGTGGATCCAATAATCATATTAATTGACAATGTCTGATGATTTATGAAAAAAGAGATATTTCTGTAATTTCTGGTAATTTGGCCATTACCAATCATTCGTATAGAGAGAAAATGGTAAAAAATACGTTTTAAAGTAATTACTGCTCAATTTTCTATTAAGCCTCTGACTAATTTTAACAAAATAGTTTTCAACTGTTTTTTTAATCACCTTTATAAAGAACTGCAGTAACATCTGCAACATTTATTATTTTACCCGCACAATCAATTTGAAATATATTATTTCAATATATACTAAGTAACATACAGGTTGGGGGAAGACATTTTGAAGAATTGTTGTGATGATATCATGTACAAAAGGCAAAAATTAAATGCACTAAATCCTATTTAGGCAATTCATCGTCTTTCTAAATTTTAACGCGTCTTAGGGCCGTAGTGCTGTAGTGACACTTTTCCGGATATGAGTCCCTATAATCACATGTTTTCTACTGATACACTGATTAACCCCTACAAGTTTGATCCCATAGTTCTGAAACACCCTGTATAAAATGCAATATCCAGAATTATTTATTGAATTTTGATAAAAACTTGTAAGCATATTTGCTATAAAGTATACGCTGATAAAATGTTGAAAGCGTTCCAAGCCGTACTTTTTTGTAAAGACTTCTTTTGTCATATCGGGATCCGAACGATATGAACTTGTTTATTTAATATTCAGTGATTTTTCTGTGTTGGTTCCATTTGTTTTATTGTTTCATTGCATTATCATGCCTAGAGTTCGCAGACGCGATAATTTCATTCAACTTTCCGAGTTTGAGATGGGAAAAAATTCAAATTAAAAAAAAAGTTAAATACTTGTAGTGACAGATTTTTTAATATGTAATAAATAATTATATTTCTCATATATTCATAAAATATTCGTTATAGGTATTTGTAGTATATATAATTCATACATTTTTGCGATATTTTTCCAAATATTAAGAAAATATATGAGGAAAGATTTTTAAATATCAATTTTATATTTTAATGAAATATCTAATATTTCGTAAATGAGTATGGATTTTCAAGTATTAATCTCATACATATTTTCAGGGTAACTAGAAAATTCTTCGTTGGATATTTTAGCAAAATCTGTAGGAATGCTTTTATAAAATTGGGTTTATAAAGAAAATTCGTTCAAGGTACAATGGTTTAATTTGATAGAAAAATTACATTAAAAAACATTCTAAGCCTCTTGAATCTTGCAAATATACTCCTCTAAAAAAAAACTTACTAATTATGAAGTACTATTGAATACATAAGCTAATTTCCAGTGGTATTTTGTTTGAGAATGATATTCTCAAAAACTGCTATAGAAAGGGTATGGGAATATAAAATGCATTGGAACAATATTGGTGCTGAGCACTGCTGGGTTACTCCGAGTAGCTCAACTGGGTCACTGAAAAGCACCTCAAAGGACCCCACATTTTCTTGCTATGAGAATTCGAGATTTGATTAATTTTTCAGAAAATTTTAGATATCTGGATGAGGAATACCCATGGGCATTACTTGATCCTTTGACTAAACTTTCAAAGAAAAGGTTTTTAAAAATAGACCACTTAATGATGTTGAAATGTGACTTTTTTGCAATAGTAATGGGGCTAATTTAGCCATAACTATTTTGTGATTTATAGTATTTTCGACTGTTAAAATTTTAGAACGTCGCTGTTGAACTCAAAAATTTTGAAATAGTTACAGCTGATTTGCCCCCCACTACGACATGCAGGCAAACGGGTCGGCTCAGGTCCGCTTGCCATTATACCATTGGTCGCTCGGGGTCACACGCATATGCGGCTTAGCCGAAAATATTTATTGAATGTTTTCTAAATAATTGATTGAAAAGTAAATATTTAATGAATATTATAAAATAAATATTCTATTCAAAATATTTAAAAGATATTGAGTAAATATTTAATAAAAATAATATATTCCAAATATTTATTAAATATTTGTTTGAGATGACAAATATTTAAGTGAGATAAAAATATTATTAAATATTGAATAAATATCTAATGAATATTTCGTGCTATTGGAACGGGTTATGTGAAACCGGATTTTCTTTTAGAGAAATCGCTAATTTGGTGAATCGAAACAAAGCTACTGTAATAAGATGTGTGTGATTTGAGGCAACCATCACTTAGAGATCGATTTTCCACAATAAGGGCAGTTGCAAACCAGTGGTTTGATGCTGCCGGAAGGGCAATAACAATGAGGACAGTTTATCGCCGAATTTAATCTTTTGAACTGTTTCCATACCGTGCCCATCTTGTAATACCTCGTACCCCACAGCATCGTCGGCAACTATTGGTATGGAGTAGGGAGAGACTTGAATGGATTATGGAATGGAACTAGTCGTGTTCAGCGATGAGTCCAGATTCTGTTTGGGCACACATGATGGCCGTGCAAGAGTAAGGATGAGACGTGGTGAAAGACAACTGCAATATTCCATCGAACGGCATATTCACCTCACTGTGGGTGTTATGGTATGGAGTGCCATTGCTTACGTCAGCAGGTCACCATTAGTATTCATTCGAGGTAGCATGACTTCCCCTCGCTATATTCACGAAGTTTTACAACCACATCTGCTTCCCTTTTTGGAAACATTGCAAGATCCACTTTTTCAGCAGGACAATGCATGACCTCATGTCGCATGAGTTAGCTTATACTTTTTAGAAGCGTCCGGAGTGAATCTGCTTCAGTGGACTCCTTGATCTCCAGACCTTCCCCCCATCGAACATGTATGGGACATGGTGGGAAGAAGGTTGCAAACTTCACCGCACCCTCCACAAACATTGGACGCTCTACGAAACCAAAATCAGATGGCCTGTGATATAATACACCAAGAAGACATCAATCACTTAATCCAATTAATGCCGCGACGACTTAACGAATGTGTAGCGAACAGAAGAGCTTCAACACATTATTAACATTAAGGTGCGTTATCTCAGTTATTTTGCGAAATTTCGAGTTAAAATTCTAATCGCTTTCTATTTATCACTAAGCCTAAAACTTGTGAAAGTATGCTCAAAATTACAGCACTCCTAGTCAGTGTTGCATTTTCTATCGCATTCAGTATATATACGTATTGAAAAGCAGTCGGCCTAAAACCGTTCCCTGTGGAATAGTGAATCGTCGTCTCGAATTTGTGTCAAGCTTGCTCCGTTGGGGGGCTTTAGAAGATAAATAGGATGAGTTGAATGCAAGAGAGCATTGACACTATTTTAAAAAAATTAGTTACGAACATGTACAATAGACAAATTAGATGGATCAAGTCAGTCAAACGGGTCTATACAATTAGTGCATAACATTCTTTTCCTGCCTGACCGATAGTTACTGTCCATCGTTGGCAACATTGGCCCTTCCCATAACGTCGAACGCGTTGGGGCCAAACACTAGAAGGACACGTGTATCTAAAACATTTCTCTATCATAAGTTTTAAAGGCAAATATACAGGGAAACCCATGATATGTGAAATATGCCTAATAGGTCCGTAGAATTATCAGTGTTGGGATCGTATAAATATACTAATATTTTTTAAGTCGAGGCGAGTCAGCTTCATGGTGTTCGCAAAACCTAGACACTATAGGGCGCATTATCTTCGTGGGGCTAATTTGCTTTTTACCGAAATACTATTACATACCGCTGTTGTTAAACAAATAAATGAAATCATTTCACAGTAACTTAGTCATAAAATATTTATTTTTAAGATTTTAACCTTTTACCAATGGTAGCAATGGTTACATGCACGCTTCGCCACTGGTTTTTCGTATCTCTTTAAATTTTTTCTTTGTATCATCGTCCCCTTGACATATCCTTTTTTGGGGAAAGGAAGCAGGTTCTAAATTTCAAAAACCCTGCGGTATGTAGAAAAACTATTTTTATAGGTTATGTTCACAAACATAAAGACTAAGAGTTGACACTTCTTCACTTATGTCGACGTTCTCGAGAGCCGCGACGGAAACATTTCTCAAAAGCTGTCGTAAATCAAGTTACGTCGTTTAGTGTGATTCAATAATGAAATTTTGTTAGTACACCATTTAACATTTTTGCTATTGCTCAAAGGTTTTTGCTCATACAGTTGCGTCACTTTGTGGGGACATGCAGCAGTTCAAAGTGAGTTTTGGGGCGGCGTAACTCAATTTTTGGATTTTTGTTAGTTACGACACTATGTGTGGAAGGCGACGATATGTATGGACGTACAATATTACGTTAGCTTAGCATTTATAAGCTGATATTTCCTTTATAAGTCATTTTGGTCGGTTTAAATGTCCGGTCAATGACAAAAGTGATTGGTATAAATGCTTTCGGTACGATCGAAAGTGTATTAATCGAGTAATTTGCGAAATATGGGTGGATATAATCGCTATTAAGAAATAAGTATCTCATTGGAACCACACACATAAGTTCGTAGTATAAAAATGTCCTAGAGATAAAAATATAGTATACACTTGAAACGGTCATTTTGATTTGCATTTCACAAAATAATTATTTATATTCAACAATTTGGTGTGAGCGTGAATCTATTTTCAAGTTACGGTAATAAAAAGAACAATAACCATATTTCTGACACTGTAGCCTTGAATGACGATGTTTCAGCATCTCTGTATTAAATACCATGTCTTTACGAAAAATTAATATAATCGACACTGATAAATTATTTACTAACTTACTAACGCAATGTCACTGCAATTGTTCAAATAGTAGAATCATTACAATGATCGGTAGAAAACGCACGTAGGACGAAGTAATCCGTCTACCATATAGGATTTCAAAACGTTTTCGATGTCACTTTGCGCAATATTCTTTAATATGTATATCACTGTTTTCAACTAACGTACTGTAGCGTTTTTCTGGGTTCTTTTGGGTGTGGATTAAAACACTGGATTCCACAAAAAGAAATGCACTAATTTATTTAACTTGATAAAACATTTATATGCACCACTATTTATGTCTGACTAATTCTTATGTCACCATTTAGTGTACTATACTTCACTCCGCTCTGCTACTCTACCGTATTCAGTACTTCCTTCCATCTCTCGACCGCCGAGTTATATAGTCCGCATCGTTGAGTCTAGAAGAATCGGGAGCCATATAGCGACCTTCCCGAATAGTCGAGGTTGCTTCGCGTCGATCTAGATGGCGATCCGCCGCCAGGTGGCTGGTGCGGTCGTGATTCGCGTAAAAGCAGAGATCGGCCATGAAGCTCTAGCGAGTAGGAGACTCGCCCAACAGATGGCGCCGACAGCATGATACGTCACAGTACCTTACATCAATATAAAAGGTGGTAGCATAGCAATAGAAAACATTTAAAATGATAAACATCAAACGTCCATAAAATATACAGCAAGGACAAAGTCATATTTTCTTCATTTGTCCCCAGGTCCCCACTTATCAAAGAGATATTGATGGTAGATCAGCTGTGAACTATTTTATTCAAAATTAGGGTGAACGTCCTCATTTGGCAGAGATGCACGTTCACCAGAATTTCAAATAAAAGTTTCTTGCGTAATCTACCTCTGACATTTCTACGATAAACACGCGAATTCTTTTCAACCTATCTGTTTAGGTAGGGATACGATTCTTTTATCGCTAATGATACGTTAGTCAATGCCAGTAGACACAGCTGTTTTCATGTATTTGCAAAGTTGCCTATAATAGCACGTATTAATTCTGAGATGAACTTATTTTCGTAGAGTGTAATTTTAAGCTTACTAAAGGTTCGCGCTGATGTTTTTATTACAGTGCTAGCCGTGGCCTTGAATGTTGACGAACTTGCTCCACTGTGTAGTCCACTGAGTCGCGCAACAGAGGGTTGCTGTGCGATTCCGCTTGACTATAATGTCGCTGCGCCTGAAGCTTGACATAATCCCTCAAGTAAGGGATGTCAAGGTCTCTCGTTTGAGACATACCATGGAGAGTTGCAAATTGTTCGCAAAGTTCTATTTTGCAGTACTTGAAGACTTTGCATGTGTATCTTGGAAAGAAAACACCAAGCCGCACATGCATAAGTAATGGCTGATCTAATAATAATTTTATATAGGCGAACTTTGTTTATCAAACTCAATTTGGAGGATCTACATAACAAAGGATATAGTTGCCGAAACGCAATTTGGAATTTTGTTTTCAAGGCTGCTACAATAAATAGCCTGCGATTTCGAATGATTAATTTTAATCAGCCACCGTTCCGCCCACTCTAGTAATTCTTCCACCGCACTCTGCAACCGATCGTGAACCAGATCACCAGTACACGACTGGGCGACAAGTGCAGTGACGTCAGCATAGAGGTAGACTTCACAGTTGCTGGGGCAAGGGACATCACGGATAAAAAGCGAATAAAGGATTGGTCCTAGGACCGAGTCTTGAGGAACACTGTATGTACTGGCCGTGTTGTTGACAAAACATTGTTAATTTTGATCCGAAACTTCCTTCCTTCAAGGATTTCAGTAATTTAGAAGCCAAAAAGGAAAACCCTTTTGGATTAGTTTATAAAGGAGGCCCGCGTGCCACACCTTGTCAAAGGGTTTTGAGACATCCAAAAGCAAGATGCCAGTACTCATGCTGAGGATGAACCCTCTGGCTACATGTTCCTGCCGGTAGCTCCGTGCTATGCTCGAAAAGACTATATGATATGTGATACGTATTTTACGTATTTGACACGGTGAAATAATATTTTGATTATGACAGCGGTTATAGGTTCCAGGAGAATGAGTTAATCGTAATATAAGTACTATTAGCTAGATAAGTTCAATATTTCTTTATTAAGAATATTAAGTCGTCAGTTCCATCGGTCTTGAAAAAAGAGAGAATCGTATAGATTCAGAGCTCATAGACAATCAGCATAACGGTTGTGTTTGGAAACTAGAATATTTTTAATATACATTTTGTTAGTTTTCAGGCATATTGTGCCTAAATTTTACCTTAATTCCATGTGCCAAATAAAGAATGACATTTTACACTATTTGGATAGTTTATTTCTACAATTTGTTGATTTGCTCAAGATTTTTCTGTGAAGCATTGAAATTCCAAATACCGTATATTCACTTATAAACTATTTTAGAAAGTCAGACAGTATTTCATTGATATTGGTTTGTTCGTACCGTTTTTCGGTGACTTGACGGTAATTGTGTCTGCGATCCGGCCGTGTAAATTGCGTCTATATAGCGTAGCAGAATGAACGGAATTTGTGTAGCGGGATCTTGGACACCATCGCTGACAGGTTGATGAGTTGGCCGAACAGGACTAATAAAAATCTCAAACGTATACGGTTAAACAAAGAAGGCATGCTAACCCCCCATGGTATGTATCTAACGAAACTCTGCATAGAAACCTCGATGTCCCTTACGTAAAGGACTAAATTAAGCAACAGGCGCAGTGGCGCTATAGCCTACCGAAATCGCACAGCAACGCTCTGTTGCGCGAGTCAGTGGACAACACAGTCGAGCAAGTTCGCAAGCACAAAAGGCCGCGGCTCGCACTGTAATCAAAATTAATTCGTGAACTTAGAACAACCAAAATTGGAGCATTTTGACAAAATCTTTAGAAAAAATCGAATATTTTTAGACCGTATCAAAATATGTGACGTGATTTTAACAATGCCTAAACGCTGCCTATCCTAAAAGATTCTCTTCTACCCTTTGCTCTCGTTCTTCCTTCTCTCCTTTCCTTAAAATTTTCTGGTTTCTGGGTTACCAGACCTGACAGACTTACAAACTGACACTGTGACTCAAGAGCTAAGGTCCCACGGACAAACAAGACAGAAATATTAGACTGTTCAGACGTTCAACCTTGATTATTTATGGTGTCTAATTTTACAAATAACTACCTACTTTTCATTCTGTACACGTATTGTCTTGAATTACAGATGACGCTTCGTCGAAAAAGCAAATCAAACAAAACAATGTTATATTTGGACAAGGCAACCTTGTCGACTTGTGGAAGATGTATCCACTGAATATTATGAACGGAACTAAGCATATAAGTCAAAAATGTAAACAGGCTTACGAGAAATATTTGAATAGTCTCCAACAATATGACCTAAATGCAATAAAAAGTAAGTTTAAATATGTGATCTACAAGTGCAGGCCTCCAAGGGCACCCGCAGAAGTGGGGAGCAGGGGTATCTCCTGGGAATCCGGCTAGACTTTAAAATTTGCATATTTAGCATGATTTTGCGTACAATTTTAGGGAGTTTCAGCATTTGCTGCCCCCGCTCTTGAAAAAGCTTTTGGGGCAGGTACACTTCACAAAAAGTTATCTCTCGCCGACGATCGCCCCCCTCTCTGAGAAAAATTCTGCGGGCACCCATGTCAGCCTCGGTAAGCTATCACAAATTCTAATGTGTGGATAGGCCGTTTTTTTGTTTTGAGCACAAACGCAGCCAAGCGTTTCATCAAGTTCCATTCTTTCATTTTAACATTTTGTAGTGTTTGATGCGACTGCAAAATTGCCGTCCGGCATTTTGAAAGGAAATGTGAACCAGTACGGAAATTTTGACGAATGTATGGAAGTTAAAGATGCCCAGTATTGTTTAGCAGAAATTGATATCAGACCACTGTGGAAGGAACCTTATTCGAATTTTCAGGAGATGGCACATTCTCATTTCGCCATCCAAGAAACACTAGACGATGTACGGTAGATAAATAATATATGATTTAAATGAAGGAAGCTCCAACGTAAATGATTGTAGTTTATAAAAATAAGACGGCACAAAGCGCCATCTATCACTCCAGAATCGGCCACTGCGGAAAGCGCATAACTGCTATTAGTTGCAACTGTTAAGGATCTCAGTTTGCGTTTAGTAGTTCAGTCACCACGTGACCGCTAGGTGGCGGACGATTCTGGCTGTAAAGTACGTGTGGTCTACTTACCATTGAATAACTCAAACGTGATGCATTCGTCCATTCGACCAACAAGGCAACCAACAATGGACAGAGACAAGAGACCAAGCTGATGAGTAGCCAAGAAGCATGAAAAAGCTTTTTGGTCGGACGGACGAAAGCGCCATCTTTAGTTGACTTATACTCGTAAATGTTGTTACTATACAGAATATTGCTGTCAGAGGTATTTAAAGGCATGCCTAGATTGCGAGAATAGAAAAAATACTGTATTTTATATATTTCTTATCAAGAACCATTTTTTTTTCTTGTAGCCAAAACATAGAGTACCAGGTTTTACAATGATCAGATGGGGATTCTGTATACCTTCAGCATGTAGTGATAAAGATCTAGAAATTGCTATCCACGAGAAAATGGGGGTGGACAACAGAGTAAGACCACAGATGTGTCAAAAATCTGGAAACGCAGTGCAAAAGATATCACTGGGAAAAACTGTAACAAAAGGATTTTTCATGTTGCTTTTTAGTGCTGTTGCGTTAGCTACAATACTAGAATACAACAACTACTTCAGTCAAAGCAAAAGTTTGTAACTAAAATAATTTTTCGACCGAGAAATTTCATTTCAAACGGCAGCGATTTTTTGAGAATGATAAAATATTGCTTGACATTCTTTTGTAGAAAATGTTTTCCGATGTATTTCAGTCTACCACAACAAGTCAGCACCTAGTGAAATTTCTCGGCAATACTATTAGTGACATGTCATAAGAGCACTAAAAAAGCGGAGAAGGCACATTTTTTTGTGAAAAACTTAAAAAACGTGAAAAAGCCGACGAAATGTCATCTTGCAGACTAGGTAGTTTTTAGTTTGCAAATAGTTCATTCCTTGTTTGCTCGCTATGATCACTGTTCGCTGACTGTTAACCAACACGTACAGCTACAAAACGAGCTCACAACAAGTATACAACAGCTTGTGCTAAGTTAACATCTTGTAGGAAAACCTACGTTATGTCACAAAACCTAGGACATGTCAAAAAACGACGATATGTCACTTTTCAAGATACGTAATACCCGTGCCGGTGTAGATAATTTAAAAAAAATAAAACACCTGATCTGAATGACATATCATCAAGAAGCCGTTTAGAGTAACTGTGATAGACCGACGTTCATATAACGTGTCACTTGAGAATCTGAAACAATTTACAATTTATGGAAAATAACATACTAAAAAGTCTATGTTTCAGCGAGCTATTGGCAACGAATTATACATTGTTTCTCCTTGCAACAAAACTATAATGAATTATCATCAATAAAGGACAATCCTAAAGAAATTAAAGCCTTACACGGATGTAGAGCTTTAGCAGCTCTTGGGCTTATTTTGAGCCACAAAGTTATGGCTTTGTTTTATAACCCGTACATCAATAGGTCGGATATGACAGAGGTAAGGTTATTACTACTATATCGACATCATTCAGAGTTTCCACTAGAACCATTGACTAATATATTTAACCAGTAGGTACCCATCAGTCCATGCAAAAATAGCATCTTATTACAATACAGTGCTGGTCAACTTCATTTTCCCTTTTAGATTTTCATATGTACGAGAGAAAGAAGCGAGTGAATCGTGTTAGAAGTGCGTCTTATACGCGTCGTCACCACTTTGCCCACCAACGACAGTGAGTGATGAGGTACAGCCGCTCTCCATTCCCACCCTCACCGTCGTTGCCAGCCAACGTGGTGACATGGTTACCAGACGTACGAAAAATCTAGTACATGTACGAGATTATAAGGTTTTGTACGAGATACGAGATTAATACAAATCTCGTACACGTTTTTACGAGATTTTAAAAATGATGACCACGTACTCAAAATTGTGTGGAAAGGTACAATAATGGATGCAAATATGACCAAGGATGGTAAATTCGATATTTCAGGAACATCAATATATCATCTACATCAATACCAATGCTTGCTGTTAGCAGGTGCAATACGTTAATTGTTTATTAAATGATATTATCTTTTTCAGCTGGTCCAGTTGGTCAATAGTGGGTCTGTCGTACATAACACGTTATTTTGTTAGAACGATGTCAATATGGATTACATATTGCCTTCCTCTAGCTGCAAAAATACATCATTTAAATAAATGTTGATCTTACTGAATCATATCAACTCTATATAGTCTCATTTTTACACTCCATAATTCATTATACTACAGAACAGCAAACAGCGCGTTGACATTTCGTAACCTGGTCATATTTGACAGTCGAACCTCTGACCAATCAAATCAACTGGAAATGCTTTAATTAGGTTAATATTATATAGCTTATGATTATAACTTTATTCTTTATTTTTATTTTGCAAGAAAATATAGATGGTGGATATACCGCCCTAATTTTTTTGTCTATTCCCCCAATCTCTGCTCTTCAATGGCTACTTATTTGTTCTGTGTGTCAAAGACAGCAAACACCGCCACCACCTCCCTCCACCTCGGTCCATTGGCTTTACCCGCAAAGTTATTACGTAAAAAACCTATGCAGGGAAAACCAAATTTGTCCGATGGCTTGAGTTCAATGTGTACGGGAGAGAAGCGCGAAAAGCGTGTATCGACATGCTAGAAAGAGATAGAAGCCGGCTGAAAAGCGAAGTTCATCACCACATTGCCTAGCAACTGTGACGCAGAATGTCGTGCAATCTGCGGCGTTGCCAATATGTTACACCAGAAAATGTTAGCTCAGGCGTCTACAATAGGTTAGGTTACTGTCAAACCCAAAAAGGAGGTCTGTTCGAACATTTAATTTAATATTTTGTTTTCATTCTGATTAGAATTATTTTTGATTACCACCGATGGTGATAAAATCAACACATCTTGAGTTTCGCAATACAAATTATCACTATCTGCGTGTACGCAGCTGAATGCCATTTCGAAACGGGACGACACTCCCCTACGAACGCTAGAGGGGCATCGCTCAACTATGATCATGGGGGTGGAAACCTTGCCTTGGAATGTACAACATGCGCTGTTATCCAACGAACCAATGATTCAATGTTGGAGAGTGTGTAGCGAACCTGACCTTTTATTTCGACCTGAAACGGAGCGCAGAACCTATCGGGAATCAATCCTAAACAGATTCGACACAATTCAAAAATATGTTCGCTTAAAATTAAACCATTATTTGGTCGTAAAGAATAAACTAGCATATTTTCAATATGCATCTCAATTCAAAGAATTGGTGCAACATATTGGCAACGCGGCAGATTACCCCGTCACCGTTGCTAGGCAACGCAGTCATGAGCTTCGCTATCCAGCCGGCTTCTATCTCTTTCTAACATATCTGTCTACACACACTTCTCTCTCGTACACATTGAACTCAATCTGTCAGACAAATTTGGTTTTCGTCTATAATGTCAAAAATACGGAAAATGTCAAATTGCTGACTGGATAGCTGGTAGTGTGCAAATAGGTCATTCCGCGCCTGCCACAAGTGAGCATTGGGTAAATGACAGCTAGCTCCTAGTTGAAATCTTGTAGGAAAACCTACATAATGTAAAAAAACCGACAATGTCACTTTTCAAGTTACTTAATACCCCTGCCGAGCTCAAGTTCTGTATATGAGATGCTGAATGTACGAGTAATTTGACATATCTGGTACGAGGAAGAGATATCTGCGTCTGGCAACCCTGCGTGGTGACGACGCTAATATGGCGCACTCTTTTTAACACGCGCTTCTCTCTCTTTCTCATACACGTGGACATCTAAAAGGGTAAGCAACTTTGGCCAGCACTGTATACCTGTCTCTAAGTGTCATCGTTGGAACCTCTAGAACTATTGCCACATGTTACGAATTTCATTTTCCGTTGTTGAAAAGTGTTGTGGACACGAATTCTTAGGTATAATAAAGTCATCTTTGGTTGATTGATTATCAGGGGCGGCCACAGACGGTAAGCCACTGAGGCAGCCGCCTCAGGGCCCAGTATCATGGGGGAAAAGGGGCAAAATTCTTCTCTTGTTATCAGAAAGACATCAACACTAATGCACCCGAGACGACCTCTCTGTAAGTGACATCCCTGACTCAAAGGCTGTAACCGATCTTGTTCTCGATTAAAGTGGGGAGATGGCACATATATTTCGTCCTTTGTCTCAGGGCGCACAAAACTCTAGAGCCGGCCCTGGAGGTTATCTTTTGTTGAAGGGTTCACGCCGTATAAACACTGCACAAATTAAGCATTTTCTTGGAATCATGTTAATGAATGATTTATGTAACTTTTACTACTTAGAATTTTTATAGGCTCTTGGTCAAAAGTGGTCTGTCATAGGAAGAACTGCAATTTTGTTCACAGAAGTCTTTATGCTAATAAGTGGATTGCTCAATGCGAATGCTCTGTTTTCAGAGTTAGACAAGAGCAAACGGATGAACTTCAAAGATAAGCTGGTTACTAGACTCTTCAGGTAAGTAAAAATGTAAATATATTTTCTGCAGACACATCAAGATTACATGCGTTCTTCGATCGGTAATCGATCAAAGAAATTTTATAGATGCGAAAGAGAAAAAAATCACTCTGTAGTACCTGGGTCAAAAACCTGATCAAAACGGCGTCAATCAGCTTGACTCTGCACTTCACAAGCAACCCTGTCATGAGTTCATAAAGAATTGAGTTTGGCACAAGCTAGCCGCTCTGAAAAGAAGATATATATAACATATATATAAAAAAACATTTTATTAAAATTCGCATATTTAGCATACTTTTGTAGATTTTTAGAATTTGGCTCCTGAGAAAATTTGCTACTTGCCGCTCGTCAAAGTTTTGGAGGCAAGTACACTTTCACAAAAATGCATCTCTTGCCAATGAATACCCCCCCCCCCCTTCCTTTTGACAAAAAATCCTACAGGCGCTCATGAACATTGCTCCGAGTAACCTCGCCGTCCGTCATTCATGGTAGTACGGCAACCACTACCGATTGCGAAACACAGGGGCACCCATCGCCCTGAGCGCGAAGGTCTATATACAGTACGCGTCTGTTAAAAATATTTTTCATCCATTTTGAGGGCAAAAGTGCGGGGAAATCTATGATGTGTGAAATATATGAAACAGGTGCCTCGGATTACCGGGTTTGGAAGCGTATAACTACAATAACGTAACAAAATTAAGATTTACCCTCTCTAACACTCCATTTTAACCCCTAGAATTTTTTTCTGAAAATGATGAAGAGTCTCTCTCTGGACCGTCAAAAAATCTTTGATTATTGTGCGCAGTCAAAAAAATTTTAGGATCAAAGATTTCGAAAAATTCGAAGCTACGTTTTGCGGCACCTTCCAACTTTCTTGTCACCTAGGGATGTAATAAAAACATTTCTTGATACTCTGATCTCGACCTTGATCTAGACTTTGAGAGAAACGTATCTACCATAACTCATAATCTCCTCATATTCTGGGAAAAGCACGGGAAATATCGTGGTGGACGAAAATCCATATTGCTTCACAAATAAAAAATGTTTGCTTTACTACCATTTATTCAAAATGAAGAACTGAAAAGTTTACAACTTATAATTTAGGTTACATCATAAATTTACTCGCTATCCGACTGTCCAGAAGCAGAACCAGATCCAGACTCCGAACCTGATCCTGACCTTGAACCAGATTTAGACCTTGATCTGGATCTAGATTTGGATTTAGACCTTGATCTGGACCTAGACTTGGATTTAGACCTTGATCTAGACCTAGACTTTGATTTAGACTTAGATCGTGATCGAGATCGCGACGCAGACCTTGACCTACTAGCTGACTTACTCTTTGACCTTGATTTAGACCTGGAAGGCGATTTCGACGCTGACCTGCTCCTGGATCTGGAAGGCGATTTAGAAGCGGATCTAGACCTTGATCCTGACTTAGACCTGGAGCCTGATCTAGATCTAGATGCGGAACGAGATCTAGATTTAGATTTTGAAGGTGTCCTTGATCTTGATTTGGACTTGGATTTGGATCGCGACCTTGATCGAGATTTCGATCTGGACTTTGACCTAGATTTCGATCTAGATCGGGAACGAGAGACGGAGGTCGAACGAGATCTAGATTTAGACCTTTTAGATGATCTAGAAGATGCTCGGGATCCCCTTTCGTCGTTACTTTCATTACCGTTATCTTCTTTTTCTTTATTTTCTTGGTCTGATTCTGCCTGGCTCTCATTGGCTTGTTCTTCTTGATTGTTCTCTTCTTGGATTTCTTCAACCTCCATCTCTTCATCTTCCTCGCCTAGAAAAAAAAAAAACAAAACAATGAGTCAAGATATTTTGAAACAGGAACAAAGATTATCTAATAGATGAATCACTTTATTTTCGCTACAAAAATTACGCTAAAATTTTGTGCAAATGTATATGACCTTGGGAGATTGATACACGCTACGAGAAGCTGCCACATTCGATCCTTACCTGGTGGTTCAAGCTGCTTTTCCCTGTATCTCTGCATTCTAAACTCGTTAGCCTTCATAATCCTATGCTTCACAATCAGTCTTGTATTGCTAGGTGGCTGCCCAACCTTCTGCCTTCTCTTACTAAGTCTGACTCGAGTCTCCAACTCGTTATAGTAGATGCCATCTTGTCGCGCCACAAAGAAGTAGTTCTCTTCATAACCCTTACTAGCCTTGCTCTTGACATTCCAGTTGTATTCTCGCGCCATTTTGTATTCGTATTCTTCATCATCTTGATACGGAATCTGGTTGACAAAATCTTCGCGACGTTTTTGAAGCGTTTCTTCAGTTGGAAGGAAGTAGGCGACAAATTGTTCGCCACTTTCGTCCATCACACCTCTGTGGAAGATTGACATAAGTTAAAAAAAAATTGAATCTCAATTTGGTTGTTTAAACCACATTTAAAGGAACTAAAAAGAACTTTGCTGAAGTTTCTGATACCACAATGGCAATATTAAGGAACACCTGGAACTTATCATATGGTATTCATGCTGAGAATCCTTCATCCTTGTTTGGCCACTAAATGAAACCACATTATGAGGCCAGACAAGCATGGAGGATTATCAGCAGTTTTTAAATACATAAAGATACATATAAATTGTTATTATCGTTAGACTTTATATTAAAACTATTTTCAAATAAGAAATGTTTTTTTATTAATGCTTTTAAACAGGGTACCATTAAGTCAATCACCCATTGTTACAGATAAATTTTGGCACTGAAAGTATAAAAATGGAAATTATAGCACTAAAAATATATGATAATAAAAATGAATGCTAAATTGGTGGAGTCCCAATAATTTTGTTTGAATTAACTCAATATTGCTAGTTTTTAGTGTCTCCTAAGCAGTTTATAGGTCCTTTGCTCTTTGTTAAAGTCAGCAAGTCAGTTAGATCTAGTTGCCCTGATACTATACAAAGTAAGAAAAAGAAAGCACAAAAAGAAAAGGGTGTTAGTTGGAAGGGTGTATTCATGTTATTAAATAAGATTCTGAAATTTTAATTTGATATACAAAAATTAATTTTGGTGACTCAATTTTACCTGATCATAGCCTGTGACATTTCTTCAATCTGGGCTGGTACTTGCTTTCCTACTGGTGCAGGATCTGTATCAAATATTACTTGTGCACAAGGATATTTCCAGAGATTGAAATCAGGATAAACATTCAAAATTTCAACTGGTACAACATTAGGCTTGCTGTAATGTTTTTCTATTGGAACTTTAGAATCTTCAAATGTCTTTTCAATAGCCTTGATCTGGGAGTCTCTATCCATGTATAATGTCTCATTATTGAGAGACTTCTTAACACTGTACCCCACTTTAGCTTCAACTTTTTCCATAGTTTGTGGTTGAAACCGAGTCTGTTCCGTTGAAATATACTCAGTTCTCCTGAGCCATGATACTGATTTGGCATGATGTCTTGATCTCTTAGAATCTTGCGGTGTCAGAATATCTTCCTCAAGCAATTTTTCATCTGCAGGGTCTAGCATCGCCCCAGGCTCGACCGCATATATATCTTTGTTGATGAGATCGATACTAACACCCAAATCGTGTTCTGTAAGAACTTCATATTTGTAGTTTCTCTCTAACGATGTCGGATTGTACTGAATAAACCTAAAACATATTCGTTAGACTGATTGTTCTAGAGGAGCTAAATTAGGTTTTTTCTACCTTATGGATTCAAAAGGATATGAGATGAACTTCAAGTCAAACGGTATGTCCGGCAAGGTGTTACAGTACTTTACCTTGCACATTAGGTCAGATCTGGAAAAATATGTTATTAGAAATTACAATGACAACTGGATCTTGGATGTTACCTCTTTTCGACTGGCTTAACCGGCCTCTTCTCAGCCCCATTTTGGCTTGTCGGCGTATTTTGTTGAATTGTTGGAGGCATGATTGTATGCACTACTTATAATCTCTATTTAACACCAACCACCGATAAAATATCAATTTATTTTAGGGAGAAATCCAAACAAATCAACACAATCGTACACATTTTTTATAACCTCTGATTTTGACAACGTTGACATATGACGGCATCAAGAATGAGGGACGCAAACTGCTAGAGCTGTTGACACATCCAAATGTTAAGCTCCGACTGCACGACGCGACAAATCGTATAACCAGTGCATCTGAAATATAGAACACGTATTTCGTAAAAAATCATCTACGTATTACTGAATTCTTGATCTACTTTATTTATTATCTATTAATTCTGATATAAGATAATTTTATGTTTCAGAATATTGCCTAATCTAGTTGCAATAATCCTGTTTTGTACCTATATCTTACCAGATTTGGGCTCTGGACCCTTATGGCCTTTGGTAGTTAACCATCACGCAGAATTGTGCAAAAAACATATGTGGAGAAATATTCTACTAATCCACAACTACTATGGATTTGAGGAAATGGTACGAGAAACTTTTGAATAGCACTTACCTCAGTGTACCTATCTGATCAACTTTTTTCCAGTGTTTGACTCATACTCACCAAGTAGGGATCGATATGCAACTATTTTTGGTTACCCCCTTTTTTGTCTACGCCATATGGAAAAACCGAGAAGTCGGATTGTTTATTTTAGCTGCGTTTGCTACATTGTCAACCATTTTGAGATTTTGGGTTACATGGGCTAATGAACTCAGCCATGTGGTACATTTTGGAATACCGTAAGTATACGTAGAGAATAGGAAATAACTTTCTTACTTTATCACATTGTTTCATCTACAGCTCAATTATACTAAAAATTATAACTGAAACTAGGCTGTTAAAATAAGAATGTTATATAATAGATCTGTTTGTATGTCATTCGCCAACCTGTCAGTGACCGTGTCCAAGATCAGACAGACGGAATTTATAAGACCGGATCTCAGACATAGTCACCGACTTGTGTACAAACAAACCTTATACCGCCTGAGACTATTGTAATCTATTTCTGTTCTAGGATTTCAAGGATGTTCAGAACAGCTGATCTGTCCTATATCCTACCTACCCATAGAGCAACCATTTACTTAACAGGTATTGCAATGGCCTATATATTAAGGTACACCAATAAAACTTCAATCATATCGAAGGTAAACCTCAATGACTTTAAATTAGCTCTGATTATTTTCATACAGAATTTCAGCCACATCGTTTAATTTTGTGGGTCCTTGCATATGTCCTATTCTTATCGACGTGGATTGGTCCAATGAATATGGCTTCATATGGTTTTCAGTATAACAATCTGTATGCAGCATTATATGCTGCGTTGTCTCCTATCACATTTGGACTTGCAGTATCGTATATAATTTATGCAGTTGACAGGAATTTTGGAAGTAAGTACAAAAGATTACGCCCATATTCTCATCACAACGTTAAAACACTGTTTTTCGGGTATTTCAAAGCCAACGTTGGAATACGTACCTAAGCAATGATCGACTGGTGTGATCGTAGCTTAAGCGGTGAAAACGATTTGGTAATGCCGCTGGTAAGACTGACTCGTTTTACCCGGAATCAGGTAGAGGCTTTTTATAGTCCAGTCAACAAGTTACAACTTTCTGGAACCAGGAACGTTTTATACAAGGTGATTCGTAATGTTATTTCTCAAATTTTATATTAACCAGGTTTACATGGTCTGGTAAAATTAACTTCGTAAGTATATTAGGGAAACATCCTGGCCAAACGAAAGTGATAGATCTCAACGGATCAATTAACCCTCCAGTACACGCGTCTTGTTTTCTTACATAAGTGAACGCGCGGATTACTATAGTAATCCATAAGCTTAGGAGCCTTCAAAATAATTTTATCAAGAAAATCATGCTGCTAGTTAAGTAAAAACATTGTAAGGAGTAAATCATTCCATTTATTTCTGTTTTTACAACTAAAATCAAAATGGGTTTTCTAAAGAACGCGTCAATAAATACATACACTCATAAGTAATACAACAAAAATTAAACTTAAAAAAAACAAAGTTGCTTTTGAACGCCCTATAAATCTGCTTCTGCTCCAGGATGCACATTTTGTTCTGTTTCAGCACATTTTACACATACTTCTTTCAAATGCCCTGGACACGTCCACTGATCGCAGACGCTACACCATTTCCTTGTGCTCTTATTTCTTGCACGTCCATAAATATAGCAACGCCCGAGTGCCGAAGTTCGAGTTGGGACTATTCTAGGAGTTTCACCACCCATTTTCAAAAGAAGTCTAATTTTCTGCTTTATTGCTGAGGTTGTATGGGGATTTTCCAACCGTCTTAACATCAGCGGTTTTATCAACAGGAATGCCATCTCCTCAATAAATGTTCTTCTAGAAGGTGCGTCAGAACTATTATTAGCTTTATATAGACAAAATGCATTGATTCCTGATATATTCAATAGATCGAAGAAGACGGTGAGTGGCCCACGCCGAGAGTTTCGAGAAACATCGTACTGTGTGCACAATTGGTCCACTAGGTCTACACCAAATTTTTTGTTGTTGTAATCCGTTATTATTTCGGGTTTTTGTTTGTCTTCCGTCTCAAGATCAATAGATTTATCATGGTGCATGGTTGATAAAGCTAATACCACTTTTTTTTGGGATGTATGATACCAAGGTACATTTTTCTTGGAGAAAACCAAAACGTGAAGAATGTAGCTCTCTATTTTTGGCAGTAATAAATTCCGGAGGCAGTTCTTTTTTATTTTTACGGATTGTCCCAATAATAGTTAAGCGTTTTTGAAGCAAATCAATGGCCAATGGTACACTTGTACATGTGTCCATGGTAATGTTTCTGCCGGTTCCTTCAAGGGGTCTAACCATTCTTTTGACGACCTCTGCGCTACTCCAATCAACTTCAAATGGTCCAGCTGGCTGTTTTCCGCAGTATATCTCCATATTATAGGTGTACGCATTTTTTGTATCTACCAATGAAAATATTTTTATACCATATTTCGATGGTTTATTGGGGATATACTGACGGAAAGGACATTTTCCCCTGAAAGCTACTAACTGCTCATCTACTGTTAAATATTGAGAAGGCTTTTCTGAATTCTTTTTTGGAAAAGTTCAAAAATATTTCTGACAGGAGCAAGTTTGTCTAACTCTCTTCTTTGTTGTCTGGCATTGATGTCGTCGAATCGCAAGCATCTCATTAGAAAACGGAAACGATTCACAGACATGGACAAGTAAATGGCTTCAACGCCAGTGCCTTTGGTGTTGTCCCACATTTGAAAAATGTTTTGTCTTCCAGATTTAAGAACACCTGCCAGATATAATATACCAATAAGTCCCCAAATCTCTTCAGTATCAGTATTTTTTGCATCTCTGTATCGTTGGAAATAAGCTCTTACCTTTTCAATATAAATGTTAGTACAACGCGTTATTTCTTTGACTATGTCACTGTCAATCATACAATCGAGACACTCATGCACCGTTTTAGCATTTTTGGCGGCCCCTATTGGTCCAGGTAGCCGCAAAACAATGTTGTGTGAACGTGTTCTTGTATTGGGGGCTTGACTTATCTTACTCCACTTTGTAATTTTGTCTCTGCCAACATAGTATTTTTTCACTTCACTTCTTCTTCTTCAAGTTTATCGTCACTATCTTGATCTGATTCATGTTCCGATATAATACATTCTTCTTCATTATTTTCCTCGTCATCTGGCCAACTGTCGTCGCTAAAATCAACAGCAGGCTCCGTTTCCTCCTCTAATTCGTTGTACCATGCCATTACGGTTTTTTCAAAATCTGTATCCCCTAATTTGATTTTTTTCGGTTGGGCCATCTCTAGAAACAGGAATTAAGTCACAAACATATTTTTTACCATGTCCAGGCACAAAAACTTACCTTAATCGTTGTAGCTCAAAAAACATTAATTTTTAATTTTTGTCACGCAAGTGCACGCGTGGATTACAAGAGTAACATAAACAGATCTACGTCACACATCCGAACGTGACGAGCGGCAGTTGTATACTAGAAATATTAATTGGACTATGCGGGAGAGGTACTAGAAGTTAGGCAGCCCTATATGCAATAGCGCACAGAAGGCAGCACTAAAATGTTCAGTGGATTACGTATGTAATCCGCGCGTTCACTGGAGGGTTAATGATTGCCTGAAAAATTACCTTAGCAAGATTATCTAACAAACACCTTGAATGGAAATGGTCGACAGCAGTCAGATCGTTCAACCCAAAGCAGTCTACAGCTGTGCAGAGCGTTTATGATGAATAGTAGAAGCAGTGGAATAGCTTTATCGGTTTTAAACAATCAATGTATTATGACATCAGCTAGCCTCGTAAAAACTTCTGTCAAAGTGACAAAGCTGTACCATGCTGCATCACTGGATATCTGAACACTCCCATTCCCTGAGTTTAAGCATACAATAAGATGAAGGTAATTGCTAAATTTGGGGAATACAAATGTCCAGATGCGCACCTTTGTATATCCAACACAAAAAGTGCATATCAAAATAATTACTTTTTATCTATTTTCAGATTGGTTTGGACCTTTACTCACATGGAAGTATTTCACAGTTTTTACTAAAATCTCATATGCAGTATATCTTACACAATTTCCAATCTTTTTCTACAATATTGGGAAAACAAAGTATGTTGGTGAATATAGACATTACATGATGGTGAGTTTAAACTATACCCAACTTTCATAAAAAGTTATCAGTATCCATATTTTTACTCGTTTGATTTCATTTCTTTTCAGATGGAAATACTTGAAACTACTGCAGTTATTTTACTATCAATAGCACTCACCCTTACTGTGGAAATGCCCTTCCAGAAACTGAAAAAAGCTCTACTTGATATTGAAGGTAATAAATCTACTATGTGCTCTCTCAATACTGATTGAAAAATTCATTAACCAATACTTATTATTTTCTATTTCCAGAACCTTTGCCAGCAAAGCCTGACAAGATCAAGAAACCTATTACTATATCAAGAAAAAGTGAACTTGGATAAACAGGTTTCAAAGAACAACACAGTGATAAGAATATTTATGTTTTTAAGTATTATTTTAATAAAATTTATAAAAAAAAATCTATTTTGGTGCCCCATAAGCATCTGGCATTCTTTCTATTGTATACTTATGTTGAGAAACGTACATTATAGGCACACCAGGTATTTTCCTAATCCTCCGTTTCAAGTCCTTATCATTTGTAGCCACAATATAACACTTATGCTGTGTCACTCTTTGAACTAAACAATCATCTGCATAAGTACCTTTATGCATGCAGTGGATCCTCTCAAAACGAGGATCTTTTATAATTCGGAGTGCCACACGATATTTCTGTCCCAGTTTTTCTAATTCTCCAAGAACACAATCTGTAATGTATGGTATGCATTTTGCATACAGACAGTCCATCATGTTTTGGATTATGTCTAATTTGTTCTTTATAGAAAAGTTGATGAAGTTTGTGTCAACTAAAATGTGGTAAGGTGGCCCCAACTGCGTGTTGTACTGGAAGAACAGTGCTGAACTGACTTGAGGGGCTTCATGAACTTTTATAGCGTGAGGATCTTCCGGTTTTTTCTTTCTTGGGGGTGCTCTCATTGATTCTTTTATTCTAGGGTCACTGGGACTTATCATAGTCTTCATTTTGGCAAAGCGCCTTTGCGCAATTTTGCGAGTTTTCTTGGTTTTTCCCTGCAAGATCAAATACATAAGTAAAGTTACACATGGCAAAATATGAATACTATTACCATTTCAGTCGGTTTTTTAGATTCACTCGTCTAGGTTACGCATCCGGTTTAGAAGTACTTATCAATAAATTTTGTGAAATCTGAGGAAACAGAATATTTCCCTTTATTTATTAACAAAAAGGCAAGTGTGCAAAAAGGTTATGTTGATTTCCTGTTTTAGAATAAATTTAATAGATGGCGCTTAAGAGTAGTTAATATAAAGATTTCTCTATCGAAATTCTTAGTAAGAGTTGTTCTCGATAGATGACGTTAGCAGCTGTGGAATGGCGTTATCCCTGAAAAAATGACTTAACTACACGCATGAGTATCCATTAGGGTAGAATGACAACTGATTATCTAGTAATATCTCAAATTTCCCCATATCGGCACAGGACACATAATTCTGACGGATCCGTCAACGTCAGGTAGTCAGAACCGTATTTTGTTTTGGTTTTTAGTACGCTACAGATTCATTTTGTACTTGATAACAGCTCTTATACTTAGAAAAGTTCATTTGTTTCAAAAAAAAAACGCCACAAACAAGTTTTACTAGATTTATACCCGAAAAATGTCACTTGCTGATCAGCTGTTCGCCTCAGTAGACGTCAAAGTGTGATGGATGCTCGTGAAATACGGTATATAAGTTGCTTAGGAACTGGCGATTTTCTGACCTAAGTTAAAGTTAGCTTCTGACCTGAGCTAAGGATGATCGCACGCACGATGTCCAGGGGTTGCCAACTTAGTAGATTTTCTACCAGATCTGGTAGATTGCAGTCTTCATTTAGTGGGCAAATTTACGTTTTAGTGGCTAGTAGAAAATCCAGTAGAATGAAAGAATCAGAATAATTAGTAAGCCACTTTCGATTTATATCATTATGAACCTTAGTTACTCATGTCAATTTGTCAATTGAAGTAATAATTCAAGAAAGTAGCAAACTGTCATTGGGAAATATCCTACTTTGATTTAGTTGAACATCGAATCGATAGATGGCAGAACCAATGAATTAATTTGCGTATGCGTACTTCTTCTCTTAGTTCTCCTTTGTCGGAAATCAGGGGTATGAAAGTCAGATGAACGATTTTGCGCCTCGTTTTGGGACATCTATTGGGGTTGCACATCACTAACTGCATGATGTTTGCCAATTCCTTCGGTAGATGGCGCGAGAAATTCAGCCGCCATCTTTTTGTCACGTGATTTGATCACGTCACGTTCTGAGCATCATCCACGGGAATCACAGACATTGTTTTTTCTTGCACAGACAAGTGAAGTTTATCTCGTATACGATGATTTAGGTGATTTATGAACATTATTTACAGTATAATTTGTGTGCTTTCTAGTAGCTATAGCATACTAGTCTGCCTAATTATTTGATTTTGGTAAGTGAGCATGATACTGATACATATATGATGTAGATTACTTTGAATTATTATGTATTACAGATTACAGAACCATGCCTAAACCGCAATATACTCAAAAGTTTCGAGGCGCATGGTTAAAGGACCCTAGTTTAAAAGAATGGCTGTTGGTTATTGACAGCACTTTAGGAAGGGAAACTAAATAAAATTTTGTAGTAAAATAATTACGAGTCGTTACGCCGACCTTAAGAGCCATGGTGAATCCAAAAAGCATAAGGAAAACGCAAGCGTTTTTTTAGGGAGATCATTCCAAGGAAAAGTTCAGCAAAAAATTCCATTTACTGCTGTTACTGACCAAGAAGATACCAAGTCTGCTGAAGGGAGATTAGCTCTTTTTATTGCCCAACATAGCTCTATAAATATATCAGATCATTTAATAGATATGTGTAAAAAAGCATTTATTAACTGCGCTGTCTCTAAGAATATGCAAATGCGTAGAACCAAATGTAGTAATCTAATAAAAAATGTTTTATCGCCACATTTTGTCAGAGAATTATGTGAGGATATTGGTAATTCTCCCTTTAGTATTTTATTAGATGAGTCAACAGACATTTCGGTCGATAAATATTTATCTCAATTTTTTTCAGTCGAAAATACACTGCGTGTAATTAAACCTGATTTAATAAACATTCTCGAGCGTTTCGAATATGATCCACAGCTAATTGAAAAAGTTAGTATTCAGTGGAAAAATATTACTTTAAAACAGTGGGAAAATACCCACACTATTGATTTTTGGTATGAAGTTCATTAAGCGCAGGACTGCAATGGAGAGTACCCATTTCGAGATTTAGCGACAGTGGCATTATCATTTTTAGTTCTGCCAAATTCAAACGCTGAAGTAGAACGGCTTTTTAGCCAAATGAATTTAATAAAAACAAAGTTGCGCAACAGAATCAAATTACCTATGCAATCAATTTTAAACATTAGATCTGGGTTGCAACCCGTTAATAAATGTTGTCATGACTATGAAATCCCTTCGGCGGTTTTAGCAAAAATTTAAAATATGCAGAGCTATAAACCACTAGAATGGGAAAGTGATAATGACATCCTTGATGACGAGACGTTAAATATACTTAACTAATCCCATTTAAAAGATGTAAATTTCTATTGTTTATTTCTATCCGTTTTCAATTAGATCTTAGGAGTTTCTTTTTATTTATTTTTTGTTCTAATAATTTTTTTATTTTTTGACAGGATTTGTTTGACTGTATTAATAGTGAATAATTTTTATTTTTAGAAAGTGTATTTTTTATTATTCGTGTAAGGAGTAAAATTAATGCGTCTATTTTTGTTTCGTTTCTAGATAAAATATATTTTTGCAATATTACTAAATGTTCTGCTTTTATTTATAGATTTACCTTTATCTTTAATATTTACAAAATATTCAAAATATATTTTCACAATATAGTATTACTAATTTGAAATAATATATGTCCAAAGATCTAAATTAGAGTAAAAACTAAAAATACATAATATGCGCAAACGCCTTTAAAACCTAAAACGTAATTAACTGCAAAATGAGGGTTAGCTATAACTAGTAGATTTATGAAATTCATAATTTTCATCTAGTAGATTTCTGGTAGATCTGGCAGTGTGATTTAGTAGATTTGATTACCGAAGTGTTGGCAACCCTGGCTGCAAAGCTGATCAGCAAGTGACATTTTTGTGTTAGTCTGCAACGTTGGCAATAATGAATTTTATATAAATCTAGTAAAACTTATTTACGGCGTTATGTTTTTTATGCAAATGAACTTTTCTGAAAAAAAGTGCTGTTAGCAAGTACAAAATGAATCTGTAGCGTACAAAAAACAAAGCAAAATACGGCTCTGTCTACCTGGCGTTGACGGATCCGTCAGAATTGTGTGTCCTGTGCTGATATGGGGAATATTGAGATATATGGATACTCGTGAAAAAGACTATTCTAAAAACAGTGAATTCTTAATAGGTATTATCACTTATCATACAAATAAATTCGTAAACTTCAATCAGTCTTATGTCGGGTTCATGCACGACATAACGTAACTGTTACTTCAATATCTGTTTACACACACAATCTCCGTCATTCCACCACTAGGGAAACTTTTTTACCGAAACGGACAAATTTGTACCTATGAGGAAATTTTTGTAACATTAAGTAACTGTTAAGAAGTAAAAGAAAATATTTTCATATTAGGGTTGTTGGGATTCGGGATACCAATAAAAAGATTTAAAAACTTGCATAATCTTTGTATTTCTTATAAATAATTTCAATACAATGAAAAAAATGATCTGGTGACACATATGTCTACAAATAATTGTTAATAAATAACTCACAGGTAAATTGGAAAAAGAAATTTTGCAAACATAAGTTGTAGCTGAAATAACGTTCTGAATTCTGACTGCAATTTTCTGTCAGTGGAGGAACGTTTTGCTTCACTTATTCTGGATGATTTTTGTTTAGAAAACAGACATTTATTATATAACAAAATAAATACATGACTTGAAGTCGGTATTTTGAAAAGACGTATATAAACAAACCGAAAAGAATGTTACATTTGACGTGCTATTCCAATCAGCCTCAAATGCATGTCCCTAATTTCTACAGAAAAAAAATCACCCAGACGCAAAGATCCGTTTACACGTTGAAATTTGTGACAACAGCCGCACTAAAAAACATCTGAGCTAGGGCACACCAAAAACTGTATAGTAAAAGTTGTATGACTTCATGCATTTTCACACTGTTTGAGATGTCACCATTTGAGCCTAAACCCACCCCAAATCAAGAAATAAGCCGAAACAAACATGTACTCTATTTTGGCTTTGGATGGAGTTGAGTCATTTATGTTGTCACATCCCCTGCTATCCTTCATTTTGACGCATGGCTGACGACGTAACTGATCACGTGACAGTGCGTGAAGTGCTACAACCCTACTACAAATCTTCGACACACCCTGTTGTCCATTCACATAGCGTAAGTGCTCTTGTTAGGCTGCTCCTCCTCTTGAAAACCAGTGGACTTCTTCACGTATTGTGGGTTCACCTGGATCTCCTCGTCCATGGAGAGGATCTGTTTGTCCAGGTCCATGCATAGTTGCAGTTGCTCTTCTAAACCTTTTAGAACCTCGGGACCGCTGAATTTTTCTGGCTCGTCCCTGAATATCACCATGCCGTCCTTCTGATTTATCGTCGCGAATATTTGCCGGGTCTCGATCTGGACATGTAAAAACAATATTGAAGACTTTAGCGCATTTATTTATCTTAAGATTTGTAGTACAAAAAGGTTAAAAGAGTGTTTTTTTTGTAGTACATCTATCCGGCCAAAGATGGCTTTCTGTTCTTAGAGAGAGATTCATAAAAGTGTTAACTACATCAAGAACCTCAATATGTACACTTTAAAAAGTGTTAACTCTTGTATTACAGGTAAACTCAAGAGTTAGCACCTTTTTGCACTCAAATTTCAATTTGTTTACGTTTGAACACGTTTCATGAGAAGTTTTGTTTTTCTGATTTTTACAACATTTGGACTGCTTTTTTAAATGGATATGGTATGTGAAGTTTTAGTGTTTTATTAGCTTGTAAGATTATATAACAAAATGAATTCACGCAATTTGGTCCATAATCATATCAAATCATTCTCTGCTGAAGTATCTCATTATTCCCAAACCGATTCTACCCTTCTCCATGGGTATCCATTAACAAAATGTATGGTTTGTATGTAGAAGAATATGCAAACGAACATATTTTCCCAGTATCTATCTTTAGATACAGACAAATATTTGTCAATGATTTCAATTTTGGATTTGGTTCTTCAAAGACTAATATGTGCAATGTAGGATCGAATGAGGAACATGTTGAAAAGTATAACAAAACCTTTTGGCGTACATAAATCTGAGGAATGGCAAAAACAAAAGAAAAAATCATATACCTCACATTTGATTTACAAAAAACGCTTCCCTTGCCGAAAATGTCTACAAGTAAAGCTATTTACGACAATTATAACTCTATAATCTAGGAATACATCTGATATCAACACAGCAACCAAATGGTTAAATGTTTTTTCCACATCTGGACCAAAGACCAAGGAAATCGCGGTCCTGAAGAGATTGCCAGCTAACTTATGGCCTTCTTGGAAAATATCAAGGAGCAAGGCATGGCTTCCGATCATCTGATTGCATGGAGTGATTCGGCAGGTAGGCCAAAATAAATTTTATATTATCTATCTATGGCACTACCTAATAATCTCTGGAGTGTTAAAAAAAGTTTACCATAAGTTCCCTGACGTAGAACATACCTTCATGGACGCTAATAGAGATTAGGCAGCTGAAGAAAAGTCAGAAAGCACCAACTAATTTATATGGTGGATCAATACATTTCAATCATGGCAGAAGCCAGGAAAAAACACCTTTTAATATTACAAGAACGGCGGACAAATTTGTTCATATTAAAGAACTTCCAGGAAAACTAGAAAAAACTACAACTAATGAGAAATTTTCATTCAGAGATGTAAGATGGTTCCAGATTGAAGAATTTGGTAAAACCAAGTACAGATACCCTTAATAAAACGGAAAATTGGATTATTGTTGATATAAGAAAACAGCGAAATCTCTATAGAGGCCAACCTAATGAGACCAAAAAGTTTGATAATATTTAAGAACAAATTCCTTTAATACTAGCAAATTTTAGAAGCTTTTATCAAAATTCAAGTTTAAGAGACGATTAGTTACAGTGTGTGGATTATTTGTTATTACTTTTGTGAGTTTGTAACAAGAAAAAAGAACAATGTTTACTTTCAATAAATAACCATTGAATTAACACCTTTATGCTATTTTCATTTTCCGGACCAAGCAAATAACAGTTTTTTAAAAAGGTATTGTCAGATTTTCAACAATCTTTTTCAAAATTTTTTTTAAAAAACTTACTTTTATATGTGTCTAAAGTAACCTTCAATAATAAAAGCAGCCCTAACACTATTCAATGAAAAATGTCAGGATTTAAACTTTGAGGCCTGCTATGCTGGCAAGAGTCATGACAAATGCCAGATATCGGTGTACTCAGTGTATGGAGACTGGGGTATGCCACCTATCTGATTTGATCTTCAAAACCATGTAATACCAAACTTTAGGCCTGCATTATTGGTCATTCTTCGTAAATACTATAATAATAATAATAATAATAATAAAATGTCTTTATTAGGCACATTATATACACTACAACATAATGTGACCTCTACGTAGGCGAAGTCTAGCTCTTGGCTACTCTACTTAACCTACCCAAATACTAAATTGAAACACTCAATCAAAGGAAACTTTGACAAGCAAAAGACGCTTCAAAACAACGAGCTTGATAGCTTCCTAGCATACATATATACACACATATATTACGTAAAATAAAATTAAATGTAAGAATTAAAAACTAACTTTTCCACAATTACTACAATGACAAATAAATCTGTTTCACATGCTTACGAAATCTGTTTACTGGCCAATCCTTTATATTGTCATCTAATTCGTTATAAATCAGGATAGCATTGTAAGTGTATGAACTACGAAATAAAGTTGTTTTATACATAGGGATCTCTAGTCTTTTTTTGTGTCTGAAATCAATGTCTGAATTATTTCGTCTGAAAACAAATTTCTCATAAAGATACAAGGGGGATCTAGAAGATATGATCTTATGTGTAAACACTGCTATATGGTACTTGCAAGCATTTTCTATACACATCCAACCAAGCTGAAATCTCTTTAAGGAAACATGATCATACTTCTTGAGATTAAATACAAATCGACAACAAGTATTTTGGAGTTTTTGGAGTCTTGCTTTTGTGATAGAATCAAGACAATGATAGAACACAGTGCTACAGTAAAATAAGCTTGGAAATATAATAGCCTCACATAACTTTTTTCTAACTTTAAAATTCAAAATAGAGCGATTGACATAAAAACACTTCAACGTTGCATAACATTTTTTTAAGATAGACGAAACATGCTCCTTAAACCGTAAAGTATAATCAATAATCAACCCTAAATTTTTTGTAGTATTTACGACAGCTAGACGCTCCTTGTCGATTTTTACATCAAGAGAATTCAATACAGTGTTACGTTTGACAGCAGGACAAAAAAGCATCACTGAGCACTTATCCTTATTGAGCTTAAGATTATTACCATTTGAGTATCCTACTATTGCCTCCAAATCATCATTAAGCTCATTGATTGAAGTATGCAAAGTGTTACTATTAAAGCTTTTATATATCTGTGTATCATCGGCATAGCACATCACAGAAGAGTTTTTCACAGAGCTACCCAAGTCTATAGTATAAATTAAGTACAACAAGGGCCCTAAAACTGAACCCTGAGGGACACCTGATGTTATATCAATCGGACATATTTTTGTGTTTCTGCTTATAAAATAGTGATACGTCGAAAATACTAAACGATTCACTATTGAAATTAGGAACTAACAGTTATAAGATATGCTATCATAAAACATTTTTCCTTTGAACTGAATTATTTATCTATTCGTTTTACAACAGAGAAGTCATGTCCTCTGGCTGATGCCAGCCATATTTTCTATGTTCCGTACAGTCAAACATGATAGTTTTTTCTAAATAATGTTAGAAATATTTTATCTTGCTAAGAACAGACCCTTCACAATATGAAAACTGAGCACATAAAATAAAAAAGAAATAATCATTTTCATATTATATGCATTTTTTTGTTACCAAACCTAAATATCAGTCCTCTGTTTCAAATGTTTTGTTTAAGTGCTCATTCATGGATGGCAGGAAATGGCTATTTTCTATGAGAATACACGCGGAAGACAGCTGAACTTTGATAACGTTTTGCGGTGAGAATATATTCCAATTTGTAGTTTATGGTACAATATTTGTGACATTTTTAAAATAAATATTTAATTTTTACATTTATTCTTATAGCTTACATATATCCTATTTCACGAGTATCCATCACGGTAGAATGACAGCCGATTATCTAGTAATATCTTAACATTCCCCATATCGCCACAGGACACATAATTCTGACGGATTCGTCAACGCCAGGTAGACAGAGCCGTATTTCGTTTTGGTTTTTTGTACGCTACAGAATCATTTTGTACTTGCTAACAGCTCTTTTATTTAGAAAATTTCATTTGCATACAAAAAACAAAACGCCACAAACAAATTTTACTAGATTTATACCCGATTCATTATTGCCAACGATGCAGACTAACACATAAATGTCACTTGTTGATCAGCTGTTCATCTAAGTAGACTTCAAAGCATGATGGATTCTCGTGAAATCGCCAGTCTTCTGGTGTCAGTCCCCTGGCTCTTAAGACCACAGACGAATGACGATGGCGGCAGAGGAATGATAATTTCCTTGTCCCGATAATATTTATGTTTTACAGCAATTGAAATTTCTAGGTAAAAAAATGGCTAGAACTAAGAAATCAACTCCACAAATTAAAGAAGAAAGGCTTAAAAACGGGAATCAGAAACGAGGAGGTATTACCGCTTAAAACAAAATAATGTTGGTATTGAACTTCTAAGGCAAAAGGAAATCTCCCAATACTTGAAAAAGAAGGAATAAAAGGTTATAAAACCCTCTGAAGATCTTAGTGAAAGGGACAAGAGAATAAAACAAAAACAATGGAGAGAATATTCCCAGAAGTATAGAAACAAAAACAACAAATGCACGCAAGACACACCAACCTATATCAGAAAAAGAGCGGGAACGTCTATCTACTAAAAGGGACACAATAAATAGGAAACATAGAAGTCGTGAAAATGAATACCAACGTGAATTAATCAGGAAGCTACACCTTAAGGTGCAAAAATATAAACAACGGCATAGATTGAAAAATATGAAATCCAAAAGTGATCCAAATTTCAAAATATGCAAGCTTTCATAATTAATGATAATGATAAGTCCTTTGTGAGTTATGATCAGATACTTGCATTTTTACCACCACCATCTATTTTAGTTAAAGGAAATAAACATATTATAACTTCCATAAGAAGGTGGACATTTTCGAAAAAGCTTAAGTGTATTTTAGTTAATACTATCTATTGTCCATTATTAGTTATAATTTAGGTTAAGCAAGGAACCAGTTGGTTTCTTTTGTTCCTTCGTTTACATAAATTTATAAAATGAAAAAAATATGTGTTGTATAGCTCAGAGTTACATCCAATATTCAAAATATATTCATAAATCAGTGACCTTTCTGTCAAATTATTATTTTTTCAAAATATAATAATAGTACTAGTTATGATGAATGACCCTTATAAAAAAACAAAAAGAAAATGTTCTGATTCGTACAATGAGTTTTATAAGGTTTTGAAAAAATGAAGTTATGCTGTCGCACCCTGATCAGAGCGATCTAGAACGCCAAAAAAAAAACGAAGCGATTTTTATTTATTTCTTTCCGCGTATTCTTACCATTTGCAAAATGTGGCTCTCTGCTTCAGAAGGGCTGGATAGCCCCACTCTGCTAGCTACATCTGATAAACTTAATGTTAAAAATGTCTTTGTTAACCTTTGAATGTTCTTCTTGTACAACACTGAGGACACTTGTTTAACTAAGCCCAAATTATGATCTCTAGTAAATACCTGGAAAAAGGAAAGACGTTTGTCTAAGCAGGACTGCAAGAAATAATATTTAAATAAAGCTTAGCTCATGGTAGTTTCCAGACAAATATTCATGTACATTCAGTCCCCTACTGAGCGAGGGCCGTGGCAAATGCTTGTTCCGGAAGTCGTTGTATCCAGTATACAACTTCTTCCCGTCCAAGTGATTGCGCACGCGTTAAGGAATACCTCAGTACCGATTGCCGGGTGGCGGTACAAGTCCGCCAACGGGCCACTTTAGGTCTATTTAACATCACTAATACGTAAAAAGAAGGTGGTAGACAAGGACCAGTCGACCGAGGCAGTACCACCCGCTAGCTTTTCCCAGGGTGTCTTATAAATGTCCGCATGTTTCCACACCTAAGCTAAGCAGTCGGTTATCTACCAAAACAAAGAAATTAATGATGATGGATCCCTCGAGCACTAAAAACTCCGGACGTAAACTCACTCCACTCTCGGAATGTCCGGGTGGAGGGTGGGCTCGAGGGAACAACATCGAAGATAAAATTTGTTTTTCGAACATCTGCGGGATCAACAGCAACATTGATGCTGTTCATCACTACCTGCAATCCAATCGTCCCGCCGTGCTTTTCTTGGCGGAGACAAAAATCTCAGAGGCTGCACCGATTAACCATCTCAACTTCCCAAACTACGAGGTGCACTCCAATCTGAGAAAGAACGGGGGAGTTGTGGCTTTTGTCCGCAGCAGTCTTTCCTGCTCCAGGGATCTTTCTTTGGAAACAGACCGGAAGGACATTCTGTGGCTTCGCCTAAACTCCAAAACATCACCCAAATTTATTTGCTGCCTTTATCGCTCTCCCTCGAACCATAACTGGGATGACCTACTCGAATACCTCGCCGTCCAGATCGACTTTCTGAACATCAATCACCCCGCTTCAGAGGTAGTTCTTCTCGGTGATTTCAATGCCCATAATGAGCTTTGGTTGGGCTCAAATAAGACCGATGCAGCAGGTCGTGCAGTCGAAGCGTTCGCTCTTACTCAAGGGCTGACCCAGCTGGTGACGAGCCCTACTTTTTTCCCCCGCGTCTCGTCACACGCCAGTAGCCTGCTGGATCTCTTTCTGACCACGCATCCTGCCCCTTACAGCACTACTGTCCTGTCCCCCCTGGGTAACTCAGATCACGGTGTTGTGGAGGTTAGGTTTCGGTCAGAAGCCGCTGTGGCCGCAGAAACTCGCACAGGCCGCAAAACTTGGCATTACGGACATGCCGACTGGGAGGCGCTCAGAGACTTCTTCTCTAGCTTTCCTTGGAGAGATGTCTATTTCACTGACGCGGATGCGTCGACTGTCTGTTCTTCAATAACCGAAATTATCCACGTCGGAATGGAGGAATACATCCCTCACACAGTGAAAGTTCCTAAACCAGGGTCCAACGGCTGGTTCAACAAATCGTGTGACACTGCTCGCCAGCAGAAGATCAAGGCCCACAGAACCTACTTACAAAACCCCACTGTAGAGAACAGACAAGCCGACGTCGAGTCCAGAAACAAATATAACGAAGCGGTTCGCAATGCCAAAAACCAGCCTGATATAAAAGTTAGGCACAGGGTAATGTCGCAGCGCAATGGCAGTCGGTCTTTCTGGACGCTGGCCAAGCAGATTGAAAAGAACTTCTCACACAGTAGCCTTCCACCACTTACGTGTCAGGATGGAACTATTGTATTCGACTCAAAGGCCAAGGCGGAAGTGCTAGCCAAGATCTTTGCTGCCAACTCCACCATGGACGTCCCCACCAACGCCCAAGTGCCGTCAATTCAAAGGGTTCCCCACACTATGCGGGAGGTAACATTCAGGCATAAGACCGTAAGACGAGTGCTCTTGTCGCTCGACATCAACAAAGCTTCTGGTCCGGACTTGATTCCTGCCATTGTACTGAAGAGATGTGCAGCTGAGCTTGCTCCAGTTCTTTCGCGTCTCTTCCAGATATCTTATGAATCCGGCACCTTCCCAGAAAACTGGAAATTTGCTCATGTACAGCCCATCCCAAAAAAAGGATCTAAAACCGACCCTTACAACTACAGGCCTATAGCTCTGCTTTCTGTTATAAGTAAAGTGATGGAGAGGTGCATAAATCGCGAGCTTCTGGACTACCTCGAACGTCACAGCTTGATTAGCGACAGGCAGTACGGTTTCCGGCACCAACGATCCACAGGGGACCTCCTAGCTTACGTCACGCAACTGTGGAGTAAACTCATCCAGTCTCATGGTGAGGCTCATGTCGTTGCTCTTGACATCACGAAAGCGTTCGATCAGCTGTGGCACGCTGCCCTCTTGAGCAAACTTCCATCCTACGGCCTCCCAGAAAAGCTTTGCAGATGGGTGGCTGACTTTATCTCCGGCCGCAAGATATCCGTCGTAATTGACGGATTCTCCTCTTCATCCCACAACGTCAACGCGGGTGTTCCCCAGGGATCGGTCTTGGCTCCAACACTGTTTCTCTTACATATCAACGACCTCCTTTCCTGCACGATCAACCCAATCCACAGCTTCGCTGATGACAGCACTCTACATGCAGGAATTCAGAGTGACAAGCCGATCTCTGCCGCTGAGCTGGAAAAAAGAAGACTAGCGACGACTTCTTCTCTGACAAGAGACCTGGAGGCTATCACTGCTTGGGGACGCAACAATCTTGTACAGTTCGATGCTTCCAAAACACAGTACTGTACTTTGACGAACAAAAAGCGTCCTAGCGCTCATACAGTTTCGATGGACGGTCGAGTTCTAGCAAAGAGCCATTCATTTCGGCTGGTCGGAGTCCAGATCACCGAGGACCTGATCTGGCACGAACACATCTCTTCAATAGCTGCAGCTGCTGGGAAAAAGCTAGGCTATTTGTTTAGGGCTAAGAAGTACTTTTCTCCGCATGACCTTCTCACTCTATACAAGGCCCAGATAAGGCCTTGCCTCGAGTATTGCTCACACATTTGGGGTGCTGCCGCACCGACTACATTGTCCATGCTCGATGCTGTCCAGAGGAGGGCAGTCCGACTGATCGATGACTCTTCTCTAACAGACAGTCTCGGGACTCTTTCGCACCGGCGGGCCGTCGGCGATCTAGCTCTTTTCTATCGCTACACCAACGGGCTTTGCTCCTCAGAGCTCTCTTCCATGATGCCGCCGCGCGATGTGCCTGCCAGACAGACCCGCCTGACTTCGGCGTCCCATCCTAACCGTGTCAAACTTCGTACATCCAGAACTGGCCGATACGACCGCTCCTTTGTCCCGAGGGTGTCTAGATTGTGGAACAAACTACGGGAGGAAGCTTTTCCCAGTTCTACTAACCTTAGGCAGTTCAAAAATCGTATTAACAAAATTTCTTTGGGATCATCATAGCAGCCGCGGTGTTCCGGCATTTAGGCTTCTGCCTGCGCGGCTGTTTCGATATAAAAAAAAAAAAAAAAAAAAACAGCTTTTAATAAGGTCAGTAGAAATGTGGCGAATGGATAGCTAGTTTTCCATTGAAATTATATAAAAATTATTTTATAAAAACACTAACCCATGGGTCTGCTCGCGTAGAAGTAGTGTGTATATGTCATTAGTTTTGCATTAATGTGAAGGAAACTGATTTCAGAGAAGTACAATATTCAAAGTTACTTCGGCAATCAACTTTTTTATCCAACGTTTTAATTCAATAATATCCTCGACAAAAAGTAAGGAGTTTACATGGAAATTTATCTGATTTTAAAATGACCTTGACGGTCATAGGTCCATTGCCAAGGAAAGCTGTCTTGACCTTCAATGACCTTGGAGGTTATAGTGAAGGCCACGTTCAAGATCACCATTAGATTAATGTTTACAAACCTTACAGCTTTATTCTACGACGTATTTTTCGAGATACATATGTAGATATATCCATACTTTTAAAACACCCTATATATTTTCGTGGAGTTTCAATTGGTGAATGTACGAATTTTCACATCTCTCCATATTGTGGTTTCGATGTGATGCTGTCAGACTTGAGAGTCATTCACATTAATGTATCTATAGATAGATGTGACTCACCTCTGTATGTCTGGTAAGTACTGCATTTAACTCAGCAGAGCTATTTGATGTGAATGCAGTTGCTAGGTCATGGTACGGTTGAGATAATGGTTTAATAAATCTGTTAACAACTTGAGAGGCATACTTTGGTAAGAGCAAGATCTGAAAAAGGATAATTACCAAATAAATAACAAAAACTGCTTCACCAAATACATCAAATATCAAATCATATGGTAAACTTTTTTTGATTTATGTATATGAAGTGTCTCAGAAAAGATGAGTTGTAAAAAATTTAATTATTTAAAAATAAAATATTAAAGCTTATAGTCAAAAATGATTTACAAAATATTTTATAGTGAGATGTTTCTCGGACTTTGTCTATAAAGTTTGATTTTTACGACGTTTCGGTTGATGTGATCTGCAATCGTCATGAGGTGAACTTGCGAACATGCTCCTTTCTTGACTATTTACACCATTCTTCGAACACCTAAACAATCTAAGACAATGGAATAGAAACTACTTATACAGAAAATCAACACACAGGACATTACCTAAATATCTGTTCCAGTCACCCAGCAACCACAAAGAAAAGTTTAATTAGAATTCTTGCCAATCAGGCAAAGAGTATCTGCCACACACAAATCTCCAGGAAGAAATCAACCACATTAAAGAAGGCCCAATGAGAAATGGCTACCCAAAACGACTGAAAGAAAACAACACCAATAACAGTAGAAACACGTGGAACGTACCCCAGCGTTCACTAATTCTACCATATGTTGCCGGGCAGTGGCGGATGTAGGGAGGGGGGTGCCAACCCCCTTGACGTCTGACACTTGCTTTTGTAATCTAACACCATTGTGTTACTTCCTGACACATCATGGCGACAGCGGCATACTAACTATGTATAAGTTATAGCTATAGGAACTGAGTATTGCGATTTTTTTGGTTTCCTTCGGTATTCCAAACGCTGTTCCTCTTTGACACAACTTACGTTTACAGCACAATTCTTAGGATTTATACGTATATACGAGTATTGTGACTTGTGACAAATCTAAGTCTGAGTAATATATAGATTACACTTAAAAAGTGATTTATGTTCTGTTTGTTGCTCAATAGTAATTTGAAAAGTGTGTAAAGCTTGACTGATTTTGTTTGGGGTTGGTGTTGCAGTGAAGCACTATGTTAGATGAAAGCTTAAAATGGAAATAGACATTTATGAGATTTGTTCAGCGGTGCGCCTGTAGCCTATTCAGAAACTGCGTCGATCGATGCTCAAAGTCAATACCACACGTCCAGCATCTCTTCCCGCAGATGTGTTTATTAATGTTGCTATACTGAATCCGTTTAAATCACAGAGGTTCTGCACTACACGTGAATATGTACAGCCCTGTATTCCTGTACTTGTTTCGTACAAACATACATAATAAGAACGACGATCTAACAGTTATAGTTTTTTCCAAAGATTTCAATTTTTACATGCGATCAACACCGATCCGAAAACTGAGAAAACAACAACTATGCCGTAAATCGACAAAGGAAGTCTGAAAAATAATTGTAACATCTACCTATATTGAATTTCAAAAAATAATTTACTATACTTATTGATATTACTATCACCTGCTGATATAATAGAAGTGTTTGATTGTGTCTGTATTTGCACCAATTACTTGATTTGTGTAATGGGCAGTTCATAGTCTTAATCTAAATTTGTCTATAGGTAGTCTGGAGACGGACTCAAGACATGAACTATAGATGGTCTATAGACATCCTTCTTTGTCTCGTCTAGCGTCCATACGATAATGTGAGTTTTTGGGTCTCATGCTCGTTTTCGCCATCAAAGACATTGTTTTGTGTGGAATGGAATGGGTTATGTCTCGGGGTCCCTCAGAATGTTTTTTTTTCGGTTAACAGAGCAATTAAGTTTTTTATGTTTTAATCTTTAATATTATTACACTAGTTGATTATACATGACACGTACTTATATTTTGTTCTCATATAACAAAATATTGCCTTTCTGAGGATTTCTGGCCATTTTCCATGTTTTTTTTTTCAAGCTGGCATGGACCAGATAGAACACAATGGAATTAAGGAGCAATAATAGGATAAATTCTAGTTCCACTGAATTTAAACAATTACCAGCCCCAAATATCGTTTGCGCCCCCCTAACGAAATCCTAACTATGCCCTTGGCTGAGGTAAGTGGTGCAAACAGAAGAATAGGAAAACGGTACCAAATCGAAACTAGATTTTCAAGGAACACCATATTTCGCAGTATTCTCACTAAGGCAAAACATATCAACAAAAACCAAAACACCAAGGATTGTATATACCAGGTACCATGTGAATGCGGAGAGATATAGGTACATAGGAGAAATAAAAAGACCACTTCCAGTAAGAATAAAAGAGTATAAATCCAACAAGGAACGAGGAGAAAGAAATAAATCTGAAGTAGCAAATCACGCTTGGACAAAACCCCACAGATTACTTTGAGATCATGCTAAGATCTTACACAAATACTGGCATCGGAAAAAATTATAGAAAGCGGCCTTCATAATAAAGAAGTAACAGTAATCCAAGTATAGAGATTAAACCCGTATGGCAACCGATTATAAGTAACATCAAACAATTGCAACTCGTCAGCCACGTCGTCAAACGGTATAAATGTTAAGAAAGGAGCATGATCGCCAGTTCACTTATGTCGATTGAAGATCACATCAATCAAAACGTCATGAATAAAAAAAAACTTTATAGACAATGGAAGTCCGAGAAACAACATTTCAATATTTTATAGTGGTATGAAGAGAACAAAATTTTAGTTTGGGATACAAATTTTTGCATTTACCTTTCCATGTAATAACAGTGATACTAAAATATATTTCTTGTATGCCTCTAACATGATGTGTGAGACAGCATGAGCCGGAGTCGTTATAGCAACTTCAAAAAAGTACAGTGCTCTTTCAAGATTCCGCACAGCTAGATAAACCAATCCTCCATAGTAATAGTACAATAAAAAATATTTTGCATCAAATTGTGGACCATTCGTATTATAAGATTGCTAAAACAAAAAAAATCATGTTCATTAGAATAATAAACCCTTATTGATTTTAATAACAAAGAAATTACGATATTTAAAGCGCATTTAAAGTGGCAAAGTCTAGCTAATAGCTATTCTACTTAACCAGATTTGATACAATTTTCTCTTACTTATGCAATAGATGACTGTATTTTTATATAATGGGTATAATTCTAACACATATAGTGTAAACTCAGGTGTTCTGCAAGGATCAAACTTAGACCCAGTACTATTTAATATGCTCATTAATGATTTGGATAATGAAATTAAAACCTGGTAATTGTTTTATGCTGATGGTCTTAAAGTCTATTGTGAAATAACTGTTATAGAAGATTGTAATAGGTTACAGGGCATGCTCAACAAAGTTCATTTATGGTGTGTTAATAATAGATTGTCACTGAATGTTGCAAAGTGTAAAGTAGTCACTTTCTCTAGGAAAAAAGCACACATTTTATTTGATTACAACATTGATGGTATTTTTTTAGGAGCGTCATTCAACCACGAAAGATATAGGAGTATTATTTGTTTCGCAAATTAGTTTCATTAATCACATTGATAACAAAATTGGTGAAGCATACAAAATGTATGGATGCATCATTAGAAATTGTTGATCATTTAATAGTGCAGCATTGAAATGTCTTTTTCTTATATCCATTCTAAACTGGAGAACTTTTCAAATGACTGGAGCCCACACTGTCAGTGTCACGAAAAAAGACGGGATAAACTAAAAAGGAAGTTTTTGAAATAATAAAAGGCACCATATATATCCAGAACAAGAAACCGAGTATAATTTTGTGTTAAACGTTTTTGACATTGACAGTTTGGAGCTCAGACGGACACTGTCACCTGATCTAATGTCGAAATCACCATTATCAGTAATGTGTTCACATTATAATAGGATATTGCAGCATGTTGATGTATTCAAAACTCAAGGAACTAAAATGTGCTGCTAAGAATATGTCGCTAAATACCTGTGGATAGTATAGTTTTTGTTCAATTTTATATTGGTCTGTAAAGGAATTCTGTATCTGTTGTGCAATAAATATTATTACTATTATATTAACACTATAAGTTTCATGACATTAAATATAACTTACCTCTTGACATATGCCTGTAATGTCAATGTCTATCAGCTTTAGAGCTGGCTTGAAACATTTTGCTACAACACACAGCTGACAAAGGTCAGCGTGTATTGATGTTAGTTGAGAATCAAATAAGCGTAGTTTGGAGATGGCTTTCTCTAATATACAAATACCTTTTAAGGGCTGTTTTTGTTCTACTAGATAGTTTGTTAACAGGTGACATAGCTCAGCAACTAAAAAATAATAAAGGTAGATTATTATAATAGAAACATGCTTGGATGGATGAATGGTTAAGAGGCAAATTTCATATAGATTTGTTTAAAAAATATAGACAAGTAGAGGAAAGCGCCAGTACAGGCAATCCCAGGACGCAGATTATATAACTTAAAGAGTGACATTATATTGGTCTTCATAACATTACAATATGTCACCTTGAAGCTACCTGTCATTCACTTGTAGTAGCTGTGCGTGTTGCCTAAACATCATGACACTTGAGCTATATGGTTTGGCTCTGTGATGTAACATAAGCTTCAGAGATGGCACTAGCCGACACTGGCGGATTTAGACGGGGGGCGCGAGTGGGTCGCCCCCCCCTCCTACACGTCTGACACTTGCTTTGGCAATCTAACACCATTCTGTTACTTTCTGTCACATCATGGTGACAGAGGCATACTAACTATAAGTTATAGCTATAGGAACTGAGCATTATGATTTTTTGGTATCCTTTGGTATTCCAAATGCTGTCCCTCTTTGACATCACTTGTTTACAGCACAACTCTTACGATTTATACGTATATACGAGTATTGTGACTTGTGACAAATCTAAGTCTGGGTAATATATTAGCTATACAGATTGCACTTAAAAAGTGATTTATGTTCTGTTTGTTGCTCAATAGTAATTTGAAAAGTGCGTAAAGCTTGACTAATTTTGTTCGGGGTTGGTGTTGCAGCGAACCCCTATGTTAGATGAATGCCTAAATTGTAAATAGACCTTTATGAGATTTGTTTAGCGGTGCGCCTGTGGCCTGTCTAGAAACTGCGTCGATCGATGCTCAAGATCAATTCCACACGTCCCGCATCTCTTCACGCGTATGTGTCTATTTATGTTGCTATATTGAATTCGTTTAAATCACAGAGCTGCTGCACTATACGTGAATATGTACAGCCCTGTATTCCTCTACTGGCTTTGTACAAACATACATTATCAAACAGGTATAGTTTTTTCCAAGGATTTCCAACATTTCTACATGCGATCAACACCGGTTCTAAAACAATGCCGTAAATCTAAGTTCGACAACGAAAGTCTGAAAAATAACTGTAACATCTATACTGAATTTCAAAAACCTCAACCCCTACTGAGCGGGGCCGTGGCAAATGCTTGTTCCGGAAGTTGTTGTATCCAGCATACAACTTCTTCCCATACAAGTGATTGTACGCCCGTTAACAAATACCTCAGTACCGATTGCCGGTTCAAGACCGCCAACGGACCACTTTAGCGCTATTTAATATCATTAACACACAAAAAGGAGGTGGTAGACAAATCCCAGTCGACCGAGGCGGTACCACCCTATAGCTTTTCCCATGTCCGCATGTTTCCACACCTAAGCTATGCAGTCGGTTATCTTCCAAAACAAAGAAATTAATGATGATGGATCCCTCGAGTGTACAGAATTTCGGATGTAAGCTCACTTCGCTTTAAATGTTGACAAATAAACTCACTCCACGTCAAGGGCTGACGCAGCTGGTGACGGGCCCTACATTTTTTCCCCGCGTCTCGTCACATGCCAGTATCCTGCTGGATCTCTTTCTGACCACGCATCCTGTCCCTTACACAGCTCTGCTGTCCTGTCTCCCCTGAGTAACTCAGACCACTGTGTTGTGGATGTTAGGTTTCGGTCAGAACCCGCCGTTTCAGCAGAAACTCGCACAGGCCGAAAAATTTGTCATTACGGAAATGCCGTCTGGGAGGGGCTCAGAGACTTCTTCTCTACCTTTCCTTGGAGAAATGTCTGTTTCACTGACGCGGATGCGTCGGCTGTCTGTTCTTCGATAAGCGAAATTATCCACGTCGGAATGGAGGAATACATGCCTCATACTGCTGATATAATAGAAGTGTTTGATTGTGTCAGTATTTGCACCATTTACTTGATTTGTTTAATGGACAGTTCAGAGTCTTAATCCTTAAGCTTATTACATACTAGTAGGCCCCGTTGCGCAATTTGTCTATAGGTAGTCTGGAGATGGTCTCAAGACACGATCTATAGATGGTCTACAGACATCCTCCTTTGTCTTCTCTAGCTTCCATACGATAATGTGAATTTTTTGGTCTCATGTTCGTTTTCGCAATCAAAGACATTGTTTTGTGTGGAATGGACTGGGATATGTCTCTGGGTCCCTCAGAATGTTCTATTTATTTTTTGTTGGTTGACAGAGCAATGAAGTTTTTTATGTTTGAATCTTAAATATTATTACACTTGTTAATTATAAATGCCACATACTTATTTTGTTCTCATATAATAAAATATTGGCTTTCTGAAGATTTCTGAGCAATTTCCATGGTTTTTTTTCGAGCTGGCCTTGACCAGATAGAACACAATGAATTTAAGGAGCAATAATAGGATAAATTCTAGAAGTTCCACTGAGGTTAAAAAATGACCAGCCCCAAATATCGTTTAGTTCAAAGGTGACGTTTTATAGGAGAACCTGCATATTATCAAAAAAACCTATATACCATAAAAAAGTGATTTTTCACAACTTATGTATGCTCACCTGGAGCATGTGAGCAGTGATCAAGAACTGGTCTTATCTAGGCCTTTTACAGAGTGAGGAGGTTGTGCAGATAAAAGTACTTTTTACCACTAAACAAACAACCTAGCTTTACAGTGGCAGCTGGTGCAATTGGAGATAAGTTCAAGTCCTTGGTGATTATTATTATATATATACAGGGTTATCCAAATTAAGTGTCCACCATTAGTAACTTTGTTATTAGTGAAAATACAAAGTTGTTTGAATTAGCAAACTAGTAGCATTTTTAACGCTGACAAATAAAAAAAAACAATTGAGAGTCGTTATTTTGATTTTTTTCAGTAAAATAACATTTTTTTAAATGGAAACCCCTGTATATTATATTTTTTTCTGTTAAAGCATCAAATTTTAAACAAAAAAGTTCATAATGACTTTTCCGCTAAAGTCAAAAATAAAGTCAAAATAACGATAAATATTTTTAATTATTTGCAGTATTATAATATTAAGACGACTATGAAAACAACATGGCGTTCGCGATTTGACAGCATTAAGATAAGCGACAAATTGTTAAACTGGACATACTCGCAACTAGAAGGCTTTGGAAAACAATGATAAAATCAAATAATGTCAAACATTAGTGTAAATACTTGTTTATAAGCTTTATTGTGTCATTAATTTAAAGAAAAATGTTCTCCCATGAAGAAAAGTGTGATATGTTAGAATGCTATTTAGTGTGCAGAAAATCCTCCTTGAGAGCAAGAGAATACTACAGTGAATTATATCCCGCTCGCATTCAACCGTATGAACGATATTTTCTGAGACTTTATCGAAAATTTAGGGGCAACGAAAATGTTTTTGCTAAAACAAGGGCAAAAAAAGAATTCATAATAAGCGAGGCCACGGAAATTGCAGTTATTGGATATTTTGAAGCTTATCGTGAGAATTCAATAGCAGATATTCTCAAGGACTCTAATTTCAGTTATGGTACTGTTCAAAGGATTTTAAAAAAATACAAATTTATTCCGTATAAGTACCGACCAGTTCAAACGCTTTTGGCAGGGGATCCAGAGAGAAGACTTGTTTTTTGCCATTGGTATCTTAGCTTCTGTCGCCAAAATGTAAATAACTCACGTTACGTTATGGACAGATGAATCAAATTTTTCAAATTCTGGAATGTTTAATAGAAAAAACCACCATTATTGGTCAAGAGAAAATCTTTTGTTAGTACATCCAAGAGGCCCACAAGTCTGTTTCAGTTTCAACGTTTGGTGCGGTATAATTGGTTCAAAAATTGTTGGCCCGTTCTTTTATGAGGGAACCCTAACTGGTGAAAGATATGTGGAATTTATGTCAGAAATTCTGACTAATTTCTTAGACGAATTGGATCTTATAAGTAGACATCATCTGCATTTTCAGCAAGATGGCGCACCTGCCCACAACTCCAGAGGTACTTATCATTTTCTAAGTACTACTTTTAATGATCAGTGGATAGGAACAAATGGCCCAATACAGTGGCCTCCCAGATCACCAGATCTAAACCCACTTGATTACTTCTTGTGGGGTTACTTAAAGAACCAAATTTACAAGCGAAGGTACGATAACCTTGACGCGTTAAAGACTGCAGTTAGGGAAAAGATAACCCAGATAGATGGTAGGACCATACTTAGACAGTTCGAGCAGTTGAAAAACGTGCCCAAAAATGTATTGAAGAACAAGGTGGTGTTTTCGAGCATCTTCTTTAAAAAAAATTGTTATTGTATTTTGTAAGATTATAAGTTGATGTTGAAAATAAAGTTTGTCGATACAATTTAATTGTTTCAGATTGGAGGCCATAACTTCAACAATTTGTAACCTAGGAGAAAAGTTATTGTAAGCTTTTTTGTTTAAAATTTGATGCTTTAACAGAAAAAAATATAATATACAGGGGTTTCCATTTAAAAAAATGTTATTTTACTGAAAAAAATCAAAATAACGACTCTCAATTGTTTTTTTTTATTTCTCATTTTTACCAGCGTTAAAAATGCTACTAGTTTGCTAATTCAAACAACTTTGTATTTTCACTAATAACAAAGTTACTAATGGTGAACACTTAATTTGGATAAACCTGTATATATATATATATATATAGAAATGAGCATAGTACAATACTATACACTCATATTCTCATGTATAAAAGGAAAATGTAGTCTACAGATAAGTAGCATGAAAAACATAAAATAAATCAAAGATTCCAAGGCTGCAAAGGTTGTTCACTCTTCCACCTATGGTGATATACTTTGAAGCTATTGACAGACATAGCATTAATCACACTTTCTGGTAAACTATTCCAAGTATTGAATATGCAATTGGGAAGAAACCGCTGTCAGACTGTCATTCTAAATAATAAAGGTGCATCAAATTGGTGCCAATCAAGTCATAAAGTATCCTAAAGGTTACCATGATATCTGGATCTGAACTCTGACCAGCCAAAATAAATGACGCTTGGAAAATACTTGTTTTAATAATTTCTTTTCAGCTAAACTATTTTTCATGTCATATCAATTTTGATGTCTACTGAGATAAACAGCAGTGACATCATTGTTCTAAAGTCTGTAGTATTGGCAATTCCATATTCAGAACTGTTTATACCAAACACTGATTAATTTTTTCACTTCTTTTTGTCTTATTTTATTCCTACCTGACTTGAAATGTAGTCATGATAATTTGCAGCTATTTTGCTTGTAAAATTTTCCTTGTGTACACAGGAACTTTTCCAAAGAAAAAGGTTGTTTGGAAGTACAATAATATATATACTATAATATGAATCTATTGCATTCATTAAGCCACAACAAAATATGACTCTGCCTACCTAGCATTGACAGATATGTCAGAATTATTATTATATGGAGAATTCTGAAATATTTCCAGACAAAATAGTTTACAATTTCTATACATGTAATGTTACAAAGTGAACATTATATGCTTTTGAGACATACTCATAACTATTTTACAATACACAGCAAAATGAGTGTTCAGTTTTGGCCACTTTCCTCTTTGTGCTTTAAGCTTAGGTTAAATTATACTTTGAGTACTTAATACTGTTCTTTGCATATTGCATATCTAAATACTCATAACTACTCGTATTTTACAATACACAGCAAAATGAGTTTTCAGTTTTGGCCACTTTCCTCTATGTGATTTAAGCTTAGGTTAAATTATACTTAATACTGTTCTTTGGATATCTTGATTAACCTATTAAAGTTATGATGAAAGAGTCAAGTATTTTCTTATAGAATGACAACATGAAATAATAATTACATGTATCAGGTGCAAGTCTAATGTGTTCTCCATTACAGTTGAGAATAAATTCTTGTGTTTGAGTGAACCTATTGTCTTGTGCATTGTTTCCTGTAGTAGCAGGTGCTGAAAACTTGGCACACAGCACTGTAAGAATTCCTAGAGAATGCTGTTGTATGTCCAACGTTTCTAATACATTATCCAAATGTTGAGTATTTTTTACTAGAACTTCGCTGGATTTGCTTAGATATTCGCACAGCTCCCTGAAATTACCTGCAACATAACCTTCAATAACAAATGTTATACGTGAAAAATGCTAGGTACTGACCATGAGATGATAGGGTTCTTACAGTATTAACAAATTGTTCTAAAGCGGATGCCATTTCATTAGGAACAAGCGAAAATTACGTTTAACTATAAATTAAAAATAAACACTCCTTTCAGATATCTACACAGCCGGCAGCACCAGCAAAAATGACAGGTGACAGCTGTACTGCGCATGTGGTATTCAGCAAAAAATGTACCCCAGAGACAGCGTTGCCAGATGTACGATAATTATCGTTTCTGTACGATAATTTCAATTACTGTACGATGTACGATACTAAGGGTAGGATAACAGCTGAATGTACGATAATTTTGCGAATGAGATTTTTTACTCACAGATGTTGAGTCAATCTAACAACTACGTTCAATTCACACGAGCAAGCAGCTGTCAGTGTTGCCGCTTGGTAGACAAGCGCGCGTACCCCATTCTGTATAATGGGTTGCCTAGCATTACGCGGGCTATCTCGGCAAACGACAACGGGAAAAATTGGAGTCAATCGGTTCTCACGTTCTATGTATTGACATGACGCAAATTTTTTTATTTACCCATGTGCATTAGATGAAATGAATGCGACGTATCCCGTTTTTATGACTTTTGAAACTTAAAAATCAAAAGATCGTTTTCAGTTATTTTCGATATTTAACCGGTTTCAATTCAAAAACGATAATATGTCGGATTTCGAATCAAGTTGCTCTGGAGAAGAGAAGCACAACAAAAAATGCGATACTCTCGAATACTCAAATACAGAAAACAAAAAAAGGAGCGGAAACTTTGAAGAAAGCACAGCATATAGGAAAGAGTTGGAAACAAAAGAGTCCCTCTCCCCCGAGACCGAAATTTTCCTTCATCATCAGAGAACCTAAGGCACGGTGAAGGATAATATACGATAATTTTGACGTGTTTGTAGGATAATTCCCTGCAACGAATCTAGCAACGCTGATGATGTATATTCTCTGACTCAGTGAGTCGTTACTATAGGCAACACAATACTCTCGTCAGCTTCGACGCCGGTCGGTAATCCTATCGTTCAAATGAACGACTCAGTGAAGAGAGATGAACGAAATGAGAGACCTCTGAGAAAGAAGTCGTATGTCTCAAGGCTATACCTAAATAACATAATTATAGAAGACAAAGAATCTCAGAGAGAAGAAATGGTCGAGTACGACAACCATTCATTCAAGTACAAAACACTGGGTTGACAGTGGCGCTGCAACCTACAACAGCTGTTAAACGGCCAACACACGTAACGATTTATCGTACTGCATTATTGAACCATATGTATTTTCCCTACACACAGTGCAATGCATCGTACTGCATATTGAACCCTATGTAGTATCAAAAATGGTATTGCATGCAGTACTGCAATTTTCCTACACACAGTGCAATGCATGTCACAGTAACTAGAGTGTTGTTTATAGTATCTATTTTTAACGAAAACATTTGTGGCTGTGTTCGCGACTTTCAAAAATAAAAACTGCAGCCTTTATAGTTGCGATTTTATCGACTGAAGAAGATGATGAGAAACAAGCTAAAAAGAGAAAATGGTGTAAACAGTGGTTGTTGGATAGAAACAAATATTTCCATATGAGGTTATTGTAGGAACTTGAAGAAAAAGAGCCCCTCGACTTTAAAAATTTCTTAAGGATGGATTCTGATACATATACCTCTTTGCTGAATTTAATTCATGATAAAATAACTAAGAAAGATACAATTATGAGAAAAGCAATATCTGCCGAAGAAAGTTTACATTAAGATATTTGGAGACCGGATGTTCTTATGAAGATCTGAAATTCAGAACCGGAATTTCACCTCAAGCGTTAGGTGAAATTATACCAGAGACGTGTAAGGCTATATAAGATGCACTGAAAACGAGTTATTTAAAGGTAAGTAAAAACATTTTTTTTGTATTATATGTCTGTATTTCAAATCTATACAAAATATCAGAAAAATATAAAAAATACATATTTATTGACTTAAACTTTTTAAGCTTCTTAACAACTTAAATTTTAACTGGGCAATAGATATTCTGAAATGAAACAAAAAACTTGAAAATTGAAAATTTTTGATAATCAGAAAGAATATAAAATAGCAAATCCTGACTAAATGTCATTTTGTTGCGAAAATACCCGATGAAAAAATATAATTGGCATTATGTTAGTCAGTAAGAATAGTTAATCTTGCGGTATGCCTGTATAGGCAAACTGTAGTTTTATATACCTCTTGCTATAGATACACAGGTGTTCACCCGGAAAATATATTTTCCTCTTTTTTATTTTTAGGTACCAGTTGCTGAGTGGAAAGAGATAAGCAATGGATTTCAAAACATGTACTTATAACAAAACCAGCCAAGAGTGGATCATATTTCTACAACTATAAACGATTATATAGTGTAGTATTGTTTGCTATAGTAAATGCAAATTAAGAATTTGTATATGTTCATACTGGAACAAATGGCCGAGTTTCCGATGGGGGAATATGGTCACAAACAAGCATGTGCAAGCGTCTGCTCGCCAAAAAGCTAGACATACCAAGCCCCACAGAACTACCGGGAACAAAAGATAAGGTGCCTTATGTTTTCATTGGAGACGAAGCATTTTCATTAATGGAAAATTTAATGAAACCATATTCTCAAAAAAAAAATTCTCACGAAGAAAATATATTCAATTATTGTTTATGTGGAGCTCGCAGAGTTGTGGAAAATGGTTTCGGGATATTTGCGTCGAGATTTCGAATATTTCTACAGCCAATCAATATTAATGTGGACAAAATTGATATTATAATATTAGCATGTTGTGCTTTAAATAATTTTTTGCGGAAGACATCTAAAAGTAACTGTATTACTGATAAGTGTGTCGATGGTGAGCACTATGACCAATTTGGAAAACACAAAGGTGACAAACTCTAGTTTTATTTTTATTTGTGAGAGAAACATATAAAAACTATTTTAACAATATTGGTAAGGTCTCGTTTCAAGACCGTATGGTAAAATAATAAATAAATACTACAAAAACAATATCTTATTATTGTCCATACTCCTCTCATCGTTACTGTCCATGTCCGTTTCCTGGGCGTTTGATATTCCCTTTCTACCACTTTCTGCTGTAAATAGTAATAGGTCATAATACCAAAGTGAAGGCTCGTAAATGGCATCAGCACCTGATCCTGTACGTTTAGAGTCCTCAACCTAACACAAAATAGCTTTGCTAAACATTTTTAAAATAAAATTAATTATAAATGCATCTTACCTTCTTCATTTCACGTCTAAAAGATGTTCTTATATTATTTATTTTCTTTTTCATTGTTTCTCTTGTTCCTTCTGGACACACTTCCTTAAATTTGGTAAATAGGATATCATAGCTCATGTTTCGCTTCATCTTATTTGCATAATCTTTTGATTTTACATCCCATAGGCATTTGTTTTTCCCTATATAATTCAATAAACTCCTCCCAGAAACATTTTTGTTTAATGTCCATGATAACTATAATAATTAAATAACAACAATATTCTGTCTTTTAACATGAACCACAAAAGTAGTCGGCTTCAATCAAAATCCTAACTGCCGTAGTCGCGACCCTACACACGTTCCAACTTGCGTTCCAACCTTACTTCAAACATGACCGTTGATACGATATTTTATTTAAGCTCCGTACTGCGAACGATTCGACTACTGCGTACTGCGAAGCATCCAATTTGCCTACGCACGTTACGATTTATCGTTACTGCAGCAGTTTAGACTAATGTTGTACTGTATGCAGTATGAAAAATAGTTGTGTGTGTGGGGCGTTTTAGCCTGCAGCACGCTGCAGTAGCGTATACAATTATATTCATCGCAGTTTTAAAAGATTTTCGGAATTTCAAACATTTTTTAACATCAAACCCCACAAATTATTGCATTCATCACAGACCAGTTGGCTGTCACTGATTTCCGCTGTAAGTAGAATTATTGAGCTATATGATGCTCTAGAGAATTATGTTACTATTTTTTTTGTACCTCAATGTACAACTAATAACGACGGCAGATCGATCCATTGTACGGTTTCTCCGGATTGATTGCTTAGAGTTTGAAAATGATGCAAATTCATTGCCGGATCATATTCATTTCGGCTGAATATTTTCTAGTTCCGCCGCTGGTTAATATTTTTGTTTTTTTTTGGAATATTCCATGCATACACAACATTTTTCTAATTGCTATTTTCAAAATTGAAGGTATTACAGCTATCCAATAGTGACAATAGAAGATGAAAAATGATTTTTCCATGTTCAACCAGATATCAGGATGTTTTGATACAAAAATTTTGCTCGTTTGATTTCTTTCAAACTTCGACCAATAGGTCCGGAGAAACCGTTTTTTGGAGCCCGAAAATTTTTCCTTGCGCTGTTACTTTGCTCCTAAAATGTTTCGGCTAAAACACCTGAAAACTAGAATCTTAATGCTTTTTTCGAAGTCTAATTACGACCATTTCTCATCGAAAAACAACCAGACAAAAGTTACTGAATTTTTTTTCTTGCTTCCTTAATTTTTTGAGTAGTGTACGTTCTTAGTGTTTCCAGTTTTTTGTGAACTAGGAGTGCTACAACCATGAACGGACAGTAAGGGCTATTTTAGAAGACTTAAACATAAATAATACATAAAAGATCGTATATTAAGTTATACAACACATTTTGGAAGTAAAATGTGAATCAATAAATAATTTTCACTATCCCAAGACTGTCACAAAGGTAACTGACAGCAAATTGAATTCATTCTTTTCCTTAGCAACAAATAACTAAACAGGTATGACAATAAAAACAGTTCGCCCCGGATATCTGTGTTGAAAAGAATCCGGAAAAAATCAGGTTGTTGGTAGTTACCGTTTTAAATTATAAAGGTGAAGTAGTTTGTTTTTGCTTAAAAAGTTGAAACCCTTGACAAATCTTTTCCGATAAATCCGTGGTGGGAAGTTTTCAAATGAACACCCTGTATATATGCTGCTGTCACGGAAAGAAACATCAATGACGACGCCGACGTGCTGAGTACGCTCGCGGAAGATAATGCTCATATCAAATCGATAATAATTACGTTATTGCTCTATGAATATGCAAGTTTCAGTTTTTCAAATGCGGTTTGTTTATAAACTAGGTTAACCTAGACGCCACGCGACGCCTGATATGGATACGATGGA